GATATATGGAGGGGGGTTGATATTTTTGCGACGATTCGTACTTGAGGGGAGGTAATCAAGACATGGCATTCATAAATGACGATTGTTTTGACGATTTTTAGTAATTTTACCTCCCCCCTCCCCTCCGTCACACAGCGTCGCAAAAAGCCACACCCCCCTAAAATGACGTCACGCCTCAGCCAACAACCCCCCCCCCCCCTCAAAATTGTAGTTGAATTTTTCTTAGAACATTGATATTTTTCCAAAATCTTGTCTGAACTCTCTCAACATAGAGTATTTTAATCAATTCCTATTACAATTTATTAAAACAGTTTTCTAAAACGCGAAACTACGGCTAAAATTAAACATTTGTTTTCTAACATTACTGTAATAGATTGAAATAATTGTGAGGTCAAGGGAACTCACTCTTCTGTATTAGTATTATATTTATATTGTTATCTTGAGTGATGTCCCTTACATGTTGTTATGTATATAAGTCTCTCGCCACTTCTCACTTCCTCTCTCTTACCATCATGGCTGGTCTGTAAATAAAAGATTGTTAACACCAACGCGGCTTCTCGTCAGTCATTACAATCCACGTCATTTGGCGACGAAGGATAAACATCTACTAGAAAGAGCACCTACTTACGCAAAAAAGAGGTTTGCTAGAGCTTATTAGCTAATTATTTCTAGAATTATGGCGCTGTATGGCCAAATAAAAGAATTTGATGCGAATGATGAAATCATTCAAGATTACCTAGAGAGGTTAAGCTTTTACCTAGAAGCTAACAACGTGACGATAGAAGCCAAAAAGAGAGCTGTTTTGTTAACAGTCATAGGGCCTCAACAATTTAGGCTACTAAAGGACTTATGCGCACCAGCTAGTCCAGATACCAAGAGCTTTAACGAGCTGAGCAAATTGCTAACAGACCACCATGCGCCTACCCCATCAAAGTTTTTATGTAGAGCTAGATTTGACAGTAGGACTCGTCAACCAAACGAGTCAATATCAGAATATGTTGCTGCTTTACGTCATTTAAGTGAATTTTGTGAATTCGGAGACACGCTGTCTGACAGATTATGTGAAAAGTTTGTGACAGGTGTAAACAGCCCTGATATTCAAAGAAAGTTGCTGCTCGAGTCAGATCTAAAATTGGAAAAAGCAATACAACTTGCAATGTCATTCCAGCAGTCATCAGATGCGGCGAGATCTTTAGCACCTTCAGAGATCCATGCAGTAAACAGCAGGTTAGTCAATAAACATCAACCCCATCAGAGCATTCCAACTTATGCTAAACAGCCTGCTCGTTCAAATCCTAGATCTAAATCTAGTAATAATTATCAAAAATGTCATCGATGCAAAGGTCCCCATGCATCTCATCGGTGCAAGTTCAAGTTAGCAACTTGTTATAAGTGCGGTAAGCAAGGTCACATTGCTAAGGCCTGCTTCGCAAAGTCTTCGTCTGTTGCTAAATCTAGCCAGTCAAGACAGTACCGCAGCCAAAAGCAGCACTATGTTAACTCTCACCAAGACTACCTAACCCAACCAATGAACCACTCTACCTGTGAAAATGCTCAAACTGATTCGCAGCCGGATTTCAACCTGTTCTCTGTGAAATCAATAAGTCATGCTCCCATCAATGTACCAGTTTATATCAACGGTAAGAGCATCAGCTTCCAACTGGACACTGGAGCATCTCTAACAGTCATAACAAAGAAAGATTTTGACGCTGTCATAGGAGGATCAGTGCCTCTACAGCCATGTCACAAGTGTCTAACAACATACACTGGTGACAATGTTCCGGTAATAGGAGAGTGTATGGTTCATGTAAGTTATAATGGTCAAAGTGTTAAACTTCCTCTTCTTGTGGTTGAAGGAAATGGACCGCCATTACTAGGTAGGAACTGGTTAAGTGATCTTAAGTTAAATTGGGAGAGTATTTGTTCATTGAAGAATGTAAAAGAATCTAGTCTTACTTCACTAGATAAAGTTATATCTGAAAATAAATGTGTTTTTGGTAACTCAGGTTTACTAAATGATAGAACAGTGAAGTTAAGCATTAAAGACACAAATCCAAGATACTGCAAAGCTAGAGTTCCACCTTATGCAATGAGGAATAAAATTGAAAATGAGCTAAGTAGATTGGAATCTAATGGCATCATAAAGAAGGTAGACTATTCCGATTGGGCAACGCCCATTGTGCCAGTGTTAAAGAAGGATGGTTCTATAAGAATTTGTGGAGATTATAAAACTACACTGAATAAGCAAATAGAGCTAAATAGGTACCCTATACCTAACATTGAGGAAATTTCTTTGAATTTGCCAGGAGGAGACAAATTCACTGAATTAGACTTTAGTCATGCTTACACTCAACTAGAACTGCATCCAGATTCAAAAGTCTATACGACAATAAACACACATAAAGGACTCTACCAATATGAAAGACTATGTTTTGGCATATCATCTAGCCCTGGAATTTTCCAAGCTGTCATGGACAGTATTTTTAAGGATATTCCAAATGTTTGTGTGTACTTTGACAATGTGTACATAACTGGTAAGAATGACACTGAACATCTTAAAACACTAGATAAAGTCTTGAAAATTGTTGGTGAAAAAGGTTTAAAGATAAACAAAGATAAATGTCAATTCATGCTGACAGAAATTAGTTTTCTTGGTTATATATTGAGCAAACAAGGCATCAGACCTCAACCTGAGAAAACAAAAGCCATTAAAGAAGCACCCAAACCTGAAAATACCCAACAACTAAGAGCTTTTTTGGGCTTAATAAATTACTATGCAAAGTTCATAGGAAATCTGTCTGGTAAACTATCACCACTGTACAAGCTGCTACAGAAAAATGCAACTTGGCACTGGGGTAAACAACAAGATACTGCTTTTAATACAGCAAAAGAGGCTTTGTCTGCTGACACCTTACTAACTCACTATGACCCAGGGAAAAGACTTGTATTGACATGTGATGCTTCACCAGATGGTGTAGGAGCAGTCTTGTCCCACATGGATGAGAAGGGTGACAGACCCATTGCTTTTGCCAGTAGATCTTTGAATCAGGCTGAGAAAAATTATTCTCAGTTAGATAGGGAAGGCTTAGGCATCATTTTTGGTGTTAAGAAATTTCATAAGTTTCTGTTTGGTAGGAAGTTCACCATCTTTACAGATCATAAACCATTGCTAGGTTTATTTGGAGAAAACAAAACCCTACCTGAGCATGCCTCACCAAGGATTCAAAGATGGGCTATCACACTAACTGCATACAATTATGAATTGAAATACAAACCTGGATCTGAGAATAGTGCAGATAGTCTTAGTAGATTACCTTTAAAAAACCAAAGCCTGAGCTATGTACCAGAAGATGTATTTGTTCTCTTCACTATCATGGATAACTCCAATATAAATGTGAATGATATTAAAAGGAAAACACAAAAAGATGAGTGCTTAATAAAAGTATATGAGTACTGTAAGAATGGTTGGCCTGAAAAGTCTGTGAATGATGACTTAAGGCCATATTAAATAAGAAATAAAAACCTTTGTGAAGATAATATAAAAGATGGAGAAGATACAGTCCATTATCAGTCAGAGTTGCCTAAACAAAGTATTTGTAACTTAATAAATGATTATGGTGATATGGCAATTTCAAATGTTTTAAAGAAAATACATTAGTAAGAAGGAATGTGATCATCAAACAACTTTGCTAACATCATTAGCACTTACAGAAACTAAAAGGGTAACATCAAAAGAAAAGAGAAAAAGATTTTTGCCATTTAATACTTTCAGATGCCAATTCAAAAAGTCAATCATGACAGAACACCCATTGAAAGAGAATTTGGTGTTAATAAGAATGTGTATCTAAGAAATTATGGGAGAAAGGAAAAATAGATACCAGGTCAAATTGTTCAATGTATAGGACCTGTGTCTTATAAAGTTAAAAATAACTTGTGCAGATAATAAGTGTGAATCTGTCAATCCCACCAAGTCTGATCAGTTCACACCAACTCAGTTTGTTCCACAACCAAGTTCTGTTGATATGAGTGAACCAAGTTGTCTGGAGTCAGAAAATGTAAATTCTGGAGTTAATGATTTAAATCCTAGACCTCCTGAGATAGAGAATCCAGATGGTCAGAATCTTGAGTCACCAAATCAGAAGCCACTGAGAAGGTCAAGCAGGACAATCAAAGTCCCAAATAAGTTAGACCTATGATTCTAAAGGTCAAAAGGACTTTGACATTATTGTTTTGTATTTTGATTATGTTGTGGCATATTGTGCATTGTTTGTAAGGATGTAATCTACCATAGTGTTCATGTTACAATATAATTGGTGATTTTAGGATACTATCAATTGTTCTATTGAGAGATGTGTTATTGTGTTCTAAGGGTAAAGGGATGTAATAGATTGAGTTAATTGTGAGGTCAAGGGAACTCACTCTCTGTATTAGTATTATATTTATATTGTTATCTTGAGTGATGTCCCTTACATGTTGTTATCTATAAATAGTCCTCTCTCGCCACCTGCTTCCTCTCTCTTTGCATGATGGCGTCTGTACATAATAAAGACTGTTAACAACCAACGCGGCTTCTCGTCAGTCATTACAATCCACTTCAATTACTTTTTGTTAATGTCAAAGACTTACGTCGCACAATCTGAATTCCCCCCCCCTCCCCCTCATCACACACCGTCACACAATTACGGACCCCCCCCCCCCCCCTTACGAGTGTGACGTCATTTATGGACGACCCCCTTACTACAGTAACTAAACCTGTTATTTAGCACAGTCTATTGACCAAGATAAACATATTTAGATATGGCCGGTGTAACTGGCTTCATTCATAGACTTCATACGGCTAATTTTTTATAAATTAATATTTTTATTAATAATTATTTTATATAATCTTGCGATGCGAATTTTCTGTCCAATAAACCATTGGTTGACGAGACAGCAATGAGTCAAGAGAACTATAGGCCTAGCACTAAAAAGAACATTGTAGTCGGCCTAAATATAAAATTTTACTTCCTAGTAGACCTAGAATCTAGGATCTAAACTAGTAGTCTAAAACCGCTTACCAAGAACATTCTTTTTTTTTCCAGTTATTTAAAGGGAATATTTAAAGAAGATCATCGATTATGTAGTCTTGATCTAGAAAAGGGATGATACACAATAACTAATCTATTAATTTGTGAAATTAAAGTAAGTCACCACAGTTGTTACAGCAAGTGTTGCTCATTATAAAAATTGCCGCTTGTTGAATGTTGTACTGTACTGTGATGTAATTTCTCTCAGTCACTGTCTCACCTACTTGCCCACCAGTTGCTTAAAATAAAAACCACCAAATTAATAAATAGAAACAGGGGTATGTTTTATTTTACTAAAAATACTCAAATCTAGAGTCTAGAGGGCCTAATGAATTTTTTATGATTAGGGCCTAATTCGCGCAATTTTAATAATTTAAATTATTTATAAACCCTCAAGTTCAAGCTTCAACCAAGTCCAACCAGACAAATATCCCTGCCCTAATTTCTAGCCATTCATTGAATAATAATAAAACTACTATTAATACTAGTATTACTAGGCCCTAAAATTAAAAACTTTTTATAACTTAACACATTATTTTTGGAAGAGTCAATTACAATAACACAGGCTAGTCATTAGAAATCAAAAGCAATGTACAAGGAGTGTTACTTTCATGGACATCGCTGTGAGGGGGGGGGGGGATAATAGAAACACTGTGCAACATGTACTTTCATGGATATTGCTGTGAGGAGGGGGGGGGATTATAGAAACACTGCAACATGTAGGAACAATTAGGCCTACACATTAATAATTACCTTTTGTGGTTAGCTATTACAAGTATGAATACACTAATGTAGGTTTTTTGTAATACACATTTTCAAATTTAAACTTATTTGCTTTGTAGAAATTTTATTTTAAAGAACTACATTTTCTAGCCCAATGTTTGAGCATGCTCACATCTTCTAATGTAAGACAGATATTTTGCCAGGCTGAAATGAGACTGCTGGCAGTTTTATGCAATCTTTCTTTAATCTACCTATCAGTCCTGTATTCTAGGAGAGAAAACTCCATAATCAGTTAACGGATGGTAACATGGCATCACTGGGCAAATGGCCTTCCAGTAAAGGTCACTGTCCAAGGCACAAGAGTTCCTAGATGAACTTTAATGGCCACATGTTCATGACGAAGGCGAGCCACCTAGATAGAGAGGGGTGAGGGTCACCATGCGATACTTAACACAGCACTCTGTGGTGCCCTAATGACCTCAATAAGGGTTAAGGAGTTTTTTATATTTATTATTATATGAGGTACAAACTCTGATAACAAGACAGGTGACTTTATTAACAATCCATTTCAGCTTCCTTATTTTAGTTATACTTCACCTACGGCTCTGTTTACATTTTTTATAAATGTTTGAAGGGGGGTGGCAACTCCCCCTGCTCCCACCTTGATATGCCACTGTTTATATGATATTGATGAAAGTCAGAACTGGTAAAGTTAGGTCTAATCTAGTATTACAATTATGGATTATTGGTATTACCGGTGACTGACAATGGCTCGGAGACTTGGAGGGTAAGAAGACAAATACTGATAAGCTACAGGCATTCGTAAACAAATGCTTACGGCATATACTTAAAATAAGATGGCCAGACAAAATATCAAACAAAGACCTGTGGCGAACTTTAAAGCAACAGCCAATAGAGGCAGATGTCAAGGACCGAAAATGGGGATGGATCGGACACATTAAGAAAGGAAAAAGAAAACATCGCAAGGCATGCTTTAGACTGGAATCCCCAGGGAAAAAGGAGGGTGGGCCGGCCAAGGAAGACATGGAGAAGAACGGTTGAAGACGAGGCGAAAGCAGCTGGGCACACATGGGCACAGATAAAGGGGGCAGCCCAAAACCGAGTCCGATGGAGATGTGTGGTTGCAGCCCTTTGTTCCCCAGGGGCCACAAAGGAATGATGATGATGACAATAGACTTCTGAAAATAGGCATGTTAGGTTGAGGTTGTTTTATGGTTAGAAATTAGGGTTAGGGCTATGGTAGGACTTGGGTTAGGTATAGGGTTAGTGTTGACATTAGCAAGTCATGTATATTTAGTTGAACTACCAGTAACCTGACACCTATTTATTAAGATGATTATATTGATTTGCTATTATCAGACACTGGTATAACTCATACCACATAATTATTTATAGCAAGAAAATTTTACTAAATTAGACCTATGGTAGTAATGTTATTTGAATACATTTTAAACAGCCTAAAAAGTAGGATAAAAGCTAGTTAAAAACTAATAATAGGCTATGATTTTAGTGTTAAACTATAGGGCAATATTAGTTCTACTAGGCCCCAAATTATAACATTATAATATCACTTCATTACTGGAAATAAAATTTTAAATAAGTAAAACTAGTAAATCAGTCTACATTGATAAACAGAAGACATATGTTTTTGTAGTTGGGTTCTTGCCAGTTAGCATTTCTTACTACTTCTATTTAATGTCAAATAGCAAGATATAAGTGTTAGCTTTCAAGTTAAGTCTAAGGTTAGTTTTAAGTTTTGGCTAATAATAGTGGCTATACCATGGTTAGTAGTCAAGCAACTGGGAATAATTTCAGTGGAATACTGTTTTTGTGCAACTGTAACTAGTTGTATAGTGTACCTTGACTGTGATGGCTATTTTGGAATTTCAACTTTGGAAATTTAACTATTTTATAGATTCACTAACATATTTCATGATTTTTAAAAAACTTAAACACCCTAAATATCTAGCCAAAAATGGTGTATGGCCTTAATTAACTTATGTTAACAAAGATGTCTTACTTGATTTTTCTGCAGGTTAAAGCTTTACTATGGGTTAAAGGATTTCAAAATAATGTGGCGACTATGTTTGACAATGGAGGACATTGCTTTGAAAATACATGTTGTATATTTCTGAGCACTGACCAAAACCTGCTCATCTGACTTGTTATAGTATACTTCACTCCCTAGCTTAACAACGTATTATTACCAAGATGTTAAAGAAAGCTTCTCAGTTGTTTCATAAAAAACTTTCTAGTGATAATTTAAATAATGAAGAAGAGCCAGAAATCCCCAGGGTTTACAATGAGTTATATTTTTATGGACGAATTACAAGACAAGAGGCAGAAGAGATTCTGGCAGTTAATGGCATGGAAGATGGTTTATATTTACTCCGTGAAAGTATTACTCCTATGGGTAACTTTTCTCTTTCCATGGCGTATGAAGGCAGGTGAGAAGTCAACATTTTAAAGTATTTTGTTAAAACAAACTAGTCCTTATTTTTAATGTACTTTATATTTGTGCTAATTACTACTTTTGTAAAAAAAAAATTAATCTATTTTATTAATTGAGGAGATGGTTTTTTTTTCAGACCTGTTCATTATTCAATTGAAAAGAAAATCGATGGTCAGTTTATGATTGCCGAAGGGGTGACCTTTAGAGATCCTGTTGCGCTTATACAACACTATCAAACACATAAGACTGGTTTTGTTACAGTCCCGAAAATTCCCTGCTGCCGTAGACCAGATCAGGATGCTATTGCTTTCAGGGGCCTTAGCTATCAGGATCTGCACACACACATGAGATCAGCAGCTAGAAATATGGTAATCTTTTAAAACACATTTTGTTAAGCATTTGTAATTCTATGTGTATTTTACTTAAGTGCCTTGTATTTATTGTTTAGAATACTAATTTTGAAACATTTGTAATTCTAATTGTTTAATAAAATGTTTAGATAATATTTTACCTGAGTGCATTATATTTGTTGTTTAGAATGCTAATTTATCGCGAGCACTTGGACCAATGAGAGAGTCACTGTTGATGCATGTATTAAGGACCATGCATGAAAAAATGCCTTGGTTTCATGGAACCATATCTAGAGATGAATGTATCAAAAGACTCGAAGAATCCGGTCATGAAAGTGGAAAATTTATGTAAGTTATTATAACAAGATTTTTCTCAGTTTTTTCAATCAAAATATGTTTTTTTGAGTAAACTAAATAACATTGATGCTAATAAAATTTTATTTTCCACCCTTAGAATTCGTACTAGGACAGATGGTCAAACATTTGCTCTCACAATGAGTCATGAAGGAACAATGCGCCATTATTTTATTTTGGTCAATGATGGAGAAACATACTCGATAGAAAATGGGCATAGATTTAAAGCTCTAATAATTGTAAGTGTAAACAGATTTCTACTTTGAAAATTAATTCTATTTAGTTCTTTTTTGAAGATGTATTAAAATGTAATTTACCAATGCTCAAACTGTTATTCATTTACTGTCGTAACTATCATTGGCATTGTTGATTCTACTTAAAGGCTGGATTAAACACATTATAGTGGTTTCTGCTGTTAAAATGCTGTGGTTAGAAAATGAAATTCAATAGCTTTGTCTCCCTCTATATATACACAGGTTAAATTGAATGAGTCATGTAGATAACACTGTGGTTCATGTCATTAAACTTCCTGATTAGTTTCAATTACTTAATTAGATTGGGTCAGAGGCCTAACAATAAAATTTTATAGTCTTGCTTTTTTCTGGACATTGTAACTACCAAGAAATATTTCTTTTATTAGCAATATTGATTTTAACAAAAGAAAGTAATTTCATGCATTTTGTTTAAAAATATTTTTTTCTCTTTTTTTCAGTTAGTTGACCATTATCATAATAAACGTGATGGTCTCCCATGTAGATTATCTGTTCCTTGTCCTTCACCTGATACAATGCACAATGCCTGGGAAAGTAAGATAACTCTTCCATTTAATTGCATTTTATTACAGTCTGATATTTTAATGCTAATTACTTTATTAAGTTCCTCTTTAAAAATTATATAGACACTCATTAAAACAAAAAAACACATACTTTGGTTGTGTTTAATGCAAAAATCCACTTAGTGGGTGACTTCTATCTGAAATATTCAAAACAATTCTTGATGTTTGACAACTGTTTCATTATGATTAATTATTGCAGTTTGCAAGAAAAGTAAATCTTGTGTTTCAGTCTTTGTGTACACAATTTTGTTTTCTTGAAACCTGACTTATTTCTAGCTTTACTGATCTATTTAAACTATTTATTTTAGATTACAGGAAACTGAGTAAGAATTTAACTCAAAAGGTACAGTGCAAAAAATTATCTTTCTTTTAAAACATTAGTTTAGTACAGTCTCATGAATGCAATTATGAAAATCAGTGTTTAGTTTTTGTTTGTTAGAATACAAAAATATCAGATGTAGGGCCGATTCATGAAGGATTATTACAACTTGATTAACAGTTATTCATAATTTAAATATTTATCTAGATTTTTTTTGTGTGTGCTTTGATTTAAAGCAGTTTATGGTTTTTTCTTTTAATGTAAATACTCATCTTTATTTAGGTTTTAATTTTTTTTAAATCAACTTTCTTGTCAAATTATATTTTGTTGCTTTTAAAAAAAATTCTGAAATTTATTGCTAACTTTCATCATCATTTATTACTGGTAAAAGAGATGGAAAATGAACTAAGTGAAATTTAAAAAAAAATAAATCTGATCATCCACAGCCAGGGATCCGAGGGCAAGTTAGAGAAGAAACAAACAGTGACCCTGCTTTACCACCCCGTCGCCCACCTGCACGCACCCCAGATAGGCCCCCACCCCCAATACCACAGCATGAGCCTCTGTTTTGGGACAGACCTGTTCAGGATGTTGAGGAAGACGATGATATAGAAAATATGCCTTGTAAGTCAGTTTTCTTGAAGAATAAAGTCGAGGAAGATGATGATATAGAAAATATGCCTTGTAAGTCAGTTTTCTTAAAAAAAAATAGTTGAGGAATTTGATATAGAAAATGCCATTAGAAAAATAAATTAAAACAGAAATGGAATGCTAAATTGGTAATTTATAAATTTACAAAAATTAACTATGTGAAATCGTTAAAACCAGACATTGTTACATGACATCTTTCGACTGGTTAAACAAAACTTTAATCCATTGTTATACAGCCCCTCTAGGCCCGGCTATATCTCAAGAACAAGCAGAACAATTAGAGAGCATATACATAGACATAAGGCAGGACGTGTTATCTAAAGACCTTAGACCAGATCAGGTGATACTTGAAGGAAAATTAGGTGAGTACACATTTCCCCATCAAAGTTTACCTTTCCACATTTCCCCCATCAAAGTTTACCTTTCCTCATTTCTCCATCAAAGTTTACCTTTCCTCATTTCTCCATCAAAGTTTACCTTTCCACATTTCCCCCATCAAAGTTTACTTATCAAATTTCCCCAATCAAAGTATTCCTTTCCACATTTCCCCATCAAAGTTTACCTTTCCACATTTCCCCCATCAAAGTTTACTTATCAAATTTCCCCAATCAAAGTATTCCTTTCCACATTTCCCCCATCAAAGTTTACCTTTCCACATTTCCCCCATCAAAGTTTACCTTTCCACATTTCCCCCATCAAAGTTTACCTTTCCTCATTTCTCCATCAAAGTTTACTTATCAAATTTCCTAATCAAAGTTTACCTTTCCCCATTTCCCCCATCAAAGTTTACTTATCAAATTTCCCCAATCAAAGTATTCCTTTCCACATTTCCCCATCAAAGTTTACTTATCAAATTTCCCCAATCAAAGTATTCCTTTCCACATTTCCCCATCAAAATTTACCTTTCCCCATTTCCCCAGTTGTGCTAAAAATTGTTTTTCATGTACAGGTTCTGGTCAGTTTGGGGAGGTAAGGAAAGGGATGTGCCAGTTATCTAAGTCAAAAACTGTTCCGGTGGCTGTCAAAACTCTCAAAAACAATGACCCAGCTGGGGAGGTAAGAGATACCCACATCTTTTTATTTAAAAAAAAAATATAGCATGATAAAACATTCATATTTGTATTACAATATTAAAACAGTTGTGCATCAGCTTTCACGGAGTTGTTACAGATGTTTTAAAATATAAAATTATTGTCATTTACAGAGAGAAATTCTGAGTGAGGCCAATTTAATGAAAACCTTGAATCATCAACACATTGTTAGGATGATAGGTAAGAAGAGACAAAGATATTCTAGGGCACTTCAAAATTTATGTCATAGTGGTGACAACAATATCCCCATGTATGCAGAAATCGTTGATACATCTGTGTTTTGGGCAAGAACTGGAAAAGATTATGATGATGCATATAAAATAAAGGATAAATGTATATTTGTAGATGCCTGGATATTTATAACTAGACAAACTTTGGATAATATTTTTTGAAGAAAAACCACTGACTTCTGTTTTGTTAATTTTGAAAGGACTTAAAAAACTGGTCAAAATGACTAACATCACTATTGAATTATATTTACAGGTGTATGCAAAGGTGAAAGTCTTATGCTGGTGATGGAACTGGCTGAGTTGGGACCATTAAAAAAATACCTGGAGAGACACCTGTGAGTTTGTTTATCTAAGAATTTACATATCTCTCCCACCCCCATACAGTTACTTTTAAGGTTCCACATCACATGAAACTGCAACTTGAATATTGGCATAAGCTTTTCCTTTACATTTAAAACAGTCATCATTTTACTGATAAATTCATTTTTGAAATTTAGATTTTTCACTTTAAAAGCCCTATTGTAAAATATATCCTGTTGTCATGACATAACCCTGACCTTTCCATCAGTGAGATGAAACTGTCCCATCAAGTAAAATATATCCTGTTGTCATGACACAACCCTGACCTTTCCATCAGTGAGATGAAACTGTCCCATCAAGTAAAATATATCCTGTTGTCATGACATAACCTTGACCTTTCCATCAGTGAGATGAAACTGTCCCATCAAGTAAAATATATCCTGTTGTCATGACATAACCTTGACCTTTCCATCAGTGAGATGAAACTGTCCCATCAAGTAAAATATATCCTGTTGTCATGACATGACATAACCTTGACCTTTCCATCAGTGAGATGAAACTGTCCCATCAAGTAAAATATATCCTGTTGTCATGACATAACCTTGACCTTTCCATCAGTGAGATGAAACTGTCCCATCAAGTAAAATATATCCTGTTGTCATGACATAACCTTGACCTTTCCATCAGTGAGATCAAACTGTCCCATCAAGTAAAATATATCCTGTTGTCATGACATAACCTTGACCTTTCCATCAGTGAGATGAAACTGTCCCATCAAGTAAAATATATCCTGTTGTCATGACATGACATAACCTTGACCTTTCCATCAGTGAGATGAAACTGTCCCATCAAGTAAAATATATCCTGTTATCATGAGATAACCTTGACCTTTCCATCAGTGAGATGAAACTGTCCCATCAAGTAAAATATATCCTGTTGTCATGACATAACCTTGACCTTTCCATCAGTGAGATGAAACTGTCCCATCAAGTAAAATATATCCTGTTGTCATGACATAACCTTGACCTTTCCATCAGTGAGATCAAACTGTCCCATCAAGTAAAATATATCCTGTTGTCATGACATAACCTTGACCTTTCCATCAGTGAGATGAAACTGTCCCATCAAGTAAAATATATCCTGTTATCATGAGATAACCTTGACCTTTCCATCAGTGAGATGAAACTGTCCCATCAAGTGGAAATGATGCTCCAGATCTGTGATGGCATGACCTACTTAGAATCTATGGATGTTGTTCACCGTGACCTTGCTGCTCGTAATGTGCTGTTGGTGACCGATCATTTTGCTAAGATCAGCGACTTTGGGATGTCAAGAATGGTTGACAACAGTTCAGAGTATTATCTTGTAAGCATCTTAGTTCAGTCCCTTTGCTTTAAAGTAACCAGTTGGTTAAGTTTAAAAAAATATTTTTTGGGTAATTTGAAATTTCTTCTCATTTGATTTTTGTAAGCAGTTTTTTATGCATGGAATTTAAATTAAATTTAATTGTAATCACATTGAATAAAAAGGTATTGCTTAGTGCTTATTGCAATCAACGATAGAGATAAAATGCATGTTGCTTATATCCTCTCACTGGCTGTCAACAAAATAAAATATGTGCTTCTATCCTCTTATGGTTGAGAGGAAATAAGCTCATTGTTTATTTCCTCTATCACAACAAAAAATGTCTGAGGTAAAAAAAATGATTATATTACATGTAGATGCTACTTATTCCATATAAATCAGTTAGATTTTTAAAATTTGCTCAAACCTCAAAGAATATAATTATATGTAATAAAACAAACTTCTAAAAATATATATGCCTATAAATATAAGTTAAATATAGATCCCCATTGACCAAAATAGCTACATTATTTATCCTGACATTATGACAGTATAACCACTTCTGAATAAGGACATCAAAGTAAAAGTGAAATTGGTAATGTGTTGTTTTTTTCTAGGCTCATGGTCCAGGCAGATGGCCACTGATGTGGTATGCCCCAGAATGTTTGTACTACCACAAGTTTGACCACAAGTCTGATGTCTGGAGCTTTGGTGTCACCATGTGGGAGATCATGTCATTTGGAGCCAGACCTTATGATGTAAGTCCTCCTCTCCTGTATTCTCATGGTGTTCAGATCTTGTGATGTAAGTCCTCCTTAACTCTCCTGTATTCTCATGGTGTCTACACATTATGATGTAAGTCCTCCTTAACTCTCCTGTATTCTCATGGTGTCCAGACCTTATGACGTAAGTCCTCCTCTCCTGTATTCTCATGGTGTCCAGACCTTATGATGTAAGTCCTCCTCTCCTGTATTCTCATGGTGTCCAGACCTTATGATGTAAGTCCTCCTCTCCTGTATTCTCATGGTATCCAGACCTTATGACGTAAGTCCTCCTTAACTCTCCTGTATTCTCATGGTGTCCAGACCTTATGATGTAAGTCCTCCTTAACTCTCCTGTATTCTCATGGTATCCAGACCTTATGATGTAAGTCCTCCTTAACTCTCCTGTATTCTCATGGTGTCCAGACCTTATGATGTAAGTCCTCCTTAACTCTCCTGTATTCTCATGGTGTCTAGATCTTATGAGCTAAGTCCTCCTTAACTCTCCTGTATTCTCATGGTATCCAGACCTTATGATGTAAGTCCTCCTTAACTCTCCTGTATTCTCATGGTGTCCAGACCTTATGATGTAAGTCCTCCTTAACTCTCCTGTATTCTCATGGTGTCTAGATCTTATGATGTAAGTCCTCCTTAACTCTCCTGTATTCTCATGGTGTCCAGACCTTATGATGTAAGTCCTCCTTAACTCTCCTGTATTCTCATGGTATCCAGACCTTATGATGTAAGTCCTCCTTAACTCTCCTGTATTCTCATGGTGTCCAGACCTTATGATGTAAGTCCTCCTTAACTCTCCTGTATTCTCATGGTGTCCAGACCTTATGATGTAAGTCCTCCTTAACTCTCCTGTATTCTCATGGTATCCAGACCTTATGATGTAAGTCCTCCTTAACTCTCCTGTATTCTCATGGTGTCTAGATCTTATGAGCTAAGTCCTCCTTAACTCTCCTGTATTCTCATGGTATCCAGACCTTATGATGTAAGTCCTCCTTAACTCTCCTGTATTCTCATGGTGTCCAGACCTTATGATGTAAGTCCTCCTCTCCTGTATTCTCATGGCGTCTAGATCTTGTGATGTAAGTCCTCCTTAACTCTCCTGTATTCTCATGGTGTCCAGACCTTATGATGTAAGTCCTCCTTAACTCTCCTGTATTCTCATGGTGTCCAGACCTTATGATGTAAGTCCTCCTTAACTCTCCTGTATTCTCATGGTGTCTAGATCTTATGAGCTAAGTCCTCCTTAACTCTCCTGTATTCTCATGGTATCCAGACCTTATGATGTAAGTCCTCCTCTCCTGTATTCTCATGGTGTCCAGACCTCATGATGTAAGTCCTCCTTAACTCTCCTGTATTCTCATGGTATCCAGACCTTATGATGTAAGTCCTCCTTAACTCTCCTGTATTCTCATGGTATCCAGACCTTATGATGTAAGTCCTCCTTAACTCTCCTGTATTCTCATGGTGTCCAGACCTTATGATGTAAGTCCTCCTTAACTCTCCTGTATTCTCATGGTATCCAGACCTTATGATGTAAGTCCTCCTTAACTCTCCTGTATTCTCATGGTGTCCAGACCTTATGATGTAAGTCCTCCTTAACTCTCCTGTATTCTCATGGTATCCAGACCTTATGATGTAAGTCCTCCTTAACTCTCCTGTATTCTCATGGTGTCCAGACCTTATGATGTAAGTCCTCCTTAACTCTCCTGTATTCTCATGGTGTCCAGACCTTATGATGTAAGTCCTCCTTAACTCTCCTGTATTCTCATGGTATCCAGACCTTATGATGTAAGTCCTCCTTAACTCTCCTGTATTCTCATGGTGTCCAGACCTTATGACGTAAGTCCTCCTCTCCTGTATTCTCATGGTGTCCAGACCTTATGATGTAAGTCCTCCTCTCCTGTATTCTCATGGTGTCCAGACCTTATGATGTAAGTCCTCCTCTCCTGTATTCTCATGGTATCCAGACCTTATGACGTAAGTCCTCCTTAACTCTCCTGTATTCTCATGGTGTCCAGACCTTATGATGTAAGTCCTCCTTAACTCTCCTGTATTCTCATGGTATCCAGATCTTATGAGCTAAGTCCTCCTTAACTCTCCTGTATTCTCATGGTATCCAGACCTTATGATGTAAGTCCTCCTTAACTCTCCTGTATTCTCATGGTGTCCAGACCTTATGATGTAAGTCCTCCTTAACTCTCCTGTATTCTCATGGTGTCTAGATCTTATGATGTAAGTCCTCCTTAACTCTCCTGTATTCTCATGGTGTCCAGACCTTATGATGTAAGTCCTCCTTAACTCTCCTGTATTCTCATGGTATCCAGACCTTATGATGTAAGTCCTCCTCTCCTGTATTCTCATGGTATCCAGACCTTATGATGTAAGTCCTCCTTAACTCTCCTGTATTCTCATGGTGTCCAGTTCTTGTGATGTTCCTAGTTAAAATAATAATTTGGGGCTCCTACTGTTCTTATAATCTTGTAGATAATTAAGATTTATTAAGGTACTAAAACTTATTTCAACAATGTAATTCAATGAAAAATGTTAAGAAAACTCCAGCATAAGTTTAGGCTTTGAATAAGTCCTTAAATCTTTTTATGTAAAATGAGATTATATATATTTTTTTTAAACACAGAGGAAGAAACCACAGCAAATTCTGCATTTTATTGAGTCAGGAAATCGCCTCAGCAAACCAAGAAACTGTGATGATCGTATCTACCGAATCATGTTGTCATGCTGGGAGTTTACGTAAGTTAGCATCTTGTTTACTTTAATGTGACGATATTTACAGAAGACAATTTTTAAATTAAATGAGATTGCAGATTCAAAATTAATATGTAGTGGCTAATCACATGAGCAAATATAATCCAAGGTAATGGATTGTTAATGTCAGTAGTGAAGGTATTCAGAGATTATAAATAGCTATACTATTCAGAAGATTATGGCTAGAGTGTTTAGCAAGCTAAAAGTAGTGTAATAAATGTTGGATTTATATTCTAAGTACACTAGTGTATTAAAGGGGAGTGTACATGAATTTAAATTATAAATATTAATGTTAATTAAAGTTTGACTTTTAAGCGAAATATCTAAATGAGATAAAAATATTGATAAATATTTTTGTTTAAATTAAAATTTTTTTTTATTTGATGTTAATGTTAAATCAACTTCAGCTATAATTAAGTTGGTCTTTTTCTCTTAACATTTTTAGGAAAGACCTACGACCCAACTTCTCTGAACTCAAAGATGATTTAAAGAAACTGTATGCTGAATTTTTAAGAGATCAGCGATAAAGCTGCTAATAGTTATTTTTCCCTAGGTGATCAAACCTTTGTACAGATCTGTAAATGTTAATAGGTTAAAAGTAAACTCAAGAATTTGATTGATACAAATGGCTGCAATCTGGCATAGTTTTTTTAGCAAATGTGTGGCTGAAACTTACAAGAACAGGTTTTTTTCGGATTATTTACCTGGAAATTTGAATGGTCTCATTTTTTTTAAATTTAAAAATGTATTGTATTATAATCCCCACACAATAATTGTTTAAATTACCACCTCAAGTATCCCCACACATTTACAAATTGTTAAAATACCACATTATCCCCACTCAAAGATTATAAAATATTGTTAAACCGGTGTTGTAAACCATTGCGGTCTTGTATTGACAGGCAGTTATGACAATCTGTGACCTCTTTCCACACTAGGTGATACATTGAATGTCTGAATGGTTTTGTTGGTCTGTTTTTTTTTAATTTATATTATAATTTCTTCAGTTCTATAACTTCTGTTCCATAAGTTCTTGAGTGAAACAGCTTTAACTCTGTCATACAATTAACTTCAATATGGTTTGATGTAAGTGCACTAGTTATCCTACTTAAACAAGCCATGTCTTCCATTCCATTTTTACCAGCTTCCAGTTCTTGCTAAAGATGTAAACAAATTTATCATGTGATAACGGTAACTCTTCATTGTTGTAGGAACATAATTTTTGTCATGTGAATGAGTAAAAACTACCTATAACTGCAAACCACAATGTATGTTGATAAACATGTAATAGTGTATTTTGTCACTTTTTACAAGTCTAATGAATAAAGTATGAATGATGCTGTGATTAAAAAAAACTTTAAAAGTATTATTGTATTTTTGTTTTCATGATTATGGTATATGTAAAAATGTAATTTTAACATTCTGATTATTGTTTTTTTACTTTGAGTGTATGGCAGAATTACTCAAGAATAGACATTTAAAAATCCAAATGGTTTTATTTCATCAATACTATGCAACTGCATTTTTTCCTATTTAAAAAAAATACAGCATACAGTGTTTTCTCTATGACATTGAACCTTTATATACTGTAGCTTTTTATTTTCAGACGTGTATAAACATACATTGCAACCAACTTAAAAAAAATTGATAATGATAAGGTTGCTTGAACACAGATCTTTGCAATAGTGAAAGTCAGTACAACTGGTTGCTTTTTTTTATCAATTAGGAACTTTGCAAAATTACAAAATACTTACAAAATGTATTGCATAATTAAATGTAATTTCAATTTATTATATTTTGTATATTTATAAAATAATTTTATGTTTTCTATGAATATGATTTAAAATTGATTATTTTGAATGATGTAATCCTTATTTTTAATTTTTAAAACACCCACTCCTCAGTCACCTTTGAGGCAACTTACTTTTTCACTTTTAACTACCTTGATTATACACTTGGTCAAACTGGCTCACTCTAAAGTATGTTTAACAAGGTGAAATCTGTGATGTCCTACCAAACAATGGTTAGTTGAAAAGTCATTGAGACACTATGAATGCTAAACTATTTGATAAGATTATAATAATGTTGCATGCATTTTATAAGTCAATGTTTTTAGTAACAGGTTAATAACTGCATACCTGGTAGGTATGTATCAAATCTACATTTGGACCCTGACAGTTTTTACATACATTTTTAGGTCATAAGTAAAAATAGACCCTATACAATTGTGACTTGAGCTATTTAAGTTTTATAGACTTTTTAAAAATATATTTTCTCAATGAGTTAAATGTATGATTTCAAAATGTTGTCATTTTTTTTTTTATTAATTTTCTCAGTTTGTTAAATGTGTAAGAATTTTAAAATTTTGTCATTTGGTTTTAAAAAAAAAATAAATTATATTTCTGTTTGTTAATTGTGTGAGAATATTAGAATTTTGTCATTTGAAATGTCAAATGTTTGTTCATTCCATTTCTTCCATCTCCTATTTAAATTATTAATGCCAAATAATTTGATGATTTTCTTCTACAAAAGTTGTCATCAACAGACTAGTGCAGCATTCAGATTTGTTGAAACAAGCACAATTAAAACTATTGAATCATATTCTTATGTATATTATATTATAATAATTATTTTCAGATTAAAATTATTTATACATTTTTTTCTTATGTGGGACCTCTCTGTGATTGCATGTTTTCAGTAAAGAGAAACTTAACATATTTTTCTGTTCTTTTCCAAAAAGTCCCAACAAATACTATATTTTAAAATTACAGTTATACATATACATATTGTGATTATTTTATTGTTTAACTTAAAGCTTTGAAATGTTGCACAGAACATAAAGGTGATACACTTAAGCATTCTGTAATTGGGTGTTACACTTCAGCATTCTGTAATTGGGTGTAATGAACTCATGAAAAGCTACATTCATGCATATTGAAAAAGTATGTTTCTCAATACGTTCTTCAGGCCATTATGCTCATTCTCTCAAGGTCTGTATTTATCATAAGGTTTTGTCATCCCACTCACATCTTTGTTATTGAACTATCAATTAACACAGTTTTTTTTAATTTTTATATTTGAAACAAACAGGTATATTTTCATGGACAAAACACACGTTTATTTTATTCCTCGTTTATTGTCATCAAGTATTCCAAAACAGCAACTATTGTGTTTTCTGTGATCGCAACGTATGAAAGAAACAATATGAAGTTGATTCATGCATCATTACTGTGTGTTTATCATTGTGTAGTCATTGGATATGTCTCCTTGTTGTAGCAATGTGTATACCAATTTTTGTTCATTCATGACCAAGTAAGTGTGTGTGATTTTCACCTAGTTAGTTTCTACTGTCTCTCCATATGGTAACAATTAAAACCTGATGTATACTGATGTACTTAAATCATTTTGCTACTTTTTTTTGTATTGACCCCAGAGAGCTTGTGTGGCAATAGACTTCTATTTATTTAACCTTTGCTCATTTGCATGCTGCATGGAGTACGTCTTTAATTTCCCTAATTTTGCTTCAAACATTGTTATAATTTATGACAATAAAAAATAAAGGCACTGACTTTTTTGAATTATGTTGTTTATGTCTGTCCAACATATTATCACAGTCTCAACACACATATTACAAAAGTCAGTACAGTGGTCTCATGACATCTTATAGCTCAAACAAGTCCAAATCACCCATAAACTTTTGGTCCTTTTATCTGAGAAGATGCTTTCAGCACTAACTTTTAAAATCCACATCAAAGTTCAATTTAACAAGAATTCAAGTTTTTTTTCAAACATTAAAAACAAACCATTCAAAAAAAAAAAAGTAAAACCAATTATTCAGGACTTAAGTACACAAATCCATTACTTTTGTACAAGTGATCAAGATACTATATCCTATGAGTATTGTTTATGTTACAGATGAAAATACTGCTCCTCTGCAAATGCCAAGTTAAACAGAGTTCAATTTTTATCCAAACATTATTGAATAATTTAGTAGCCACATCAAAATTTGTTAATGTTCAGAGTATTCATTGAATTATTAACAATACAAAAAACATTCAACCTCTGATTGTTTTCATGTTTCTTAAAAAACATTTAATTTAAATAGGTGATGTATGGACAGAATATTGCAAAACTCACATGTCAAGAGATACCTTCAATACAGAAGCAGACATTATATATATATATATATATATATATATATATATTTATATATATATATATATATATATATATTAATATATGTATATTAATATATATATATTAATATATATATATTAATATATATATATTAATATATATATATATATAAACCTGGTAAAAGACAACTTCATTTATCATTTTCACTCAGTTGTAGCATCTGTTCTTGCTAAACAAAATATTCTTTTTTGTGCTTAATTTTCACCATTAAAAACTTTTTTACATGGCATGTGTAGAAAGATTTCCTCCAGGGTACGTGTATAGGTGTTTGCTGCCATAAAGTAAGAACTTGCTATAGGTTGTCAAAGTTCTGGCTCCTCACTGGATAGGTGGCGCTGGCATGAATGCATCACTCCCAAACAAAGATTCAAATTGTTTCACATATTGCTCACAGTGCTCCCCTGGAGGCAATCATTGTTACATTAAATTATATTGTCAAATCATATTTTTACAAGAAATAATAGTTACATTAAATAATACAGTAAAATAAAAAATTTAAAGCAACATTATATTTATGGAAATATTCTAAACTTTTAAAAAGCTAATCTTCTTCTTCGTTCTTAATTATTAGTGTTGTAGGTGATCGAGATTTATCTGCCAGTGGGTTTGAACTCGAGACTTTGTTCGAATTTATCAACCATGAGCTTTTTGCCGACTCGACCACGCCTCCAACACAATTAAGCGTTATGTGTCAACTGGTTATGCGCCATTGAGGCCATTGACTCCGATTTCAGCCTGCTTTTCTTTATGGATTTGCTTCCATAGCCTTTGTCCAACCAAGAACAAACTACAAGGCAGCAGTTGTTTAATTTTGGAGTTGTCTCTCCTAGAAGAGTGGCTGTCCCCAGCTAACGAGCTAATGAAAATGCAATAAATTCTAAAAAAAAAAATCTACAAGTATTTTGCAAGAGCACACAGCTTATGCTAGACGATTCCTTATGATTACATAATTAGGACACATTATTTTAGTTAGCAGTAAAGCTATACAAAAATTAAGTAAACTAACCTGTCTGAAATCTAGGATTTTGTCTTGACCGCACATTTCTTTGTTCAAAGAATTTAAATACAGTGTAAAATATCATGTTGTCATTGGTGTTTAATGCAGCTTCTAAAAACTTGCGAGCTGATGCACTTTCCACATTGCCGACACTTCGAATAAATCTAGAAGAAAGACATATAAACATCTACTGCTGTGTGTTCAACTCTTAATCGCATTACATTTAGATGGTTGTCATGATTTAAACAAATAATGAGTAACTTACTACAATGTGAACTGGGCTTACTAATTAAAGTGTAAATAAAGAAGTATATTAACACAAACCTTAACGCTGGAAGAAGTTGTTGCTTTGATAATAAAACTTCAATTATTTCTTCATTTGCAGTTTGTATTCTCTACAACAGATGTCAAGAATAATATTAAACATCAAACAATTTATTCAACACATTTAATGTAGACTGTAGAAACTTTAAGTACATCTAACACATCAAACCCCCACATCTAAATATAGCATAAAAACCAATCTTCTAATATTAAGCTTTTAGGAACCCAACTCAGTAAAAGTAAAGTAAAGTACTCTGTAATGTGATTTAAACTCAAGACTTTAGGGTCAGCAGCCTGGCGCTATACTGCTAAGGCATGCTGTCCCCTTCACCTCAATCCTAAAACACTAAAAACCCACCTCTAACATGAAGCATTAAAAACCCACCTCTAACATGAAGCATAAAAAAAACCCACCTTTAACATGAAGCATAAAAAACCCACCTCTAACATGAAGCATTAAAAACCCACCTTTAACATATCTAAGGCCAGCTGGTGAGCAGGTGGGTAAACAGTTTCCAGTGACAACATCAAACACGCCTGGAATTTGAGATTGGCTCTGTCAGTACTTCATTACATTCCACCGTTTGAAAATATAATTTTATACAATGCAGTACAATGGTGAAAAGTGGTAAACTTACCAATGGCTTTGAATCACTGAGAACATGGTATTGCAAGAACTGATGAAGCTGGTAGAAGCAATTGTTGTGGACTAGTATGTTGATGATCAGCTCATACACATAATGCTTGAACATAAAAAAAAAATTTTAACCAAAAGCTAAAACAAAGGTTATGCACAGGTAGAGAAAAAACATAGAGAAGTTCTAGATTTAACAAACTAGCCCAATTACACCAAATGTGTCATAAACAAACATGTGACATTGCAATGTGTTGATGATGAAGTATGTGTAACTTTTGCTACAGTACTCTGTCAGCCTGCTATCATCTTGTTAAGATTTTAATATTTTCTTCTTTTGTTGTCAACATTGCTAAGCTTCATGGCTTTGATTCTTCTCATAAAACATGTGACGTATCAACTGTACTTAAAGTTATCCCAGTTGGCTGGTCTGACAACTCCATATTTCCATTTCTATAGCATGTAACAATGTTTGATATGAATAACTCTACTTCAAATAACAGGGAGTAGCTTGTTATGAATTCAACAGTGAATGGCAAGATATGATCTGAATGAATATCATTCTGCTGTCTGACCACTGAACAGGGATGTTTATGTTAAAACCTACCTGAACAGGGATGTTGATGTTAAAACCTACCTGAACAGGGATGTTTATGTTAAAACCTACCTGAACAGGGATGTTGATGTTAACACCTACCTGAACAGGGATGTTGATGTTAAAACCTACCTGAACAGGGATGTTGGATGTTAAAACCTACCTGAACAGGGATGATGATGTTAAAACATACCTGAACAGGGATGTTGATGTTAAAACCTACCTGAACAGGGATGTTGAACTGATGAAGTGACCTGATGTACTCTATAAGGACAGCCACCATAAATTTGTACTTGATATCCTGGATAACAGCAAATATTTTCATGGTTACAATAGAACAACAAATCTACAGGTACACAAAACATTTTCATGGTTACAATAGAACAACACATCTACAGGTACACAAAACATTTTCATGGTTACAATAGAACAACATATCTACAGGTACACAAAAACATTTTCATGGTTACAATAGAACAAAAAATCTACAGGTACACAAAACATTTTCATGGTTACAATAGAACAACACATCTACAGGTACACAAAACATTTTCATGGTTACAATAGAACATATCTACAAGCACTCAAAACTACACTACTTTGGATAACAACTCTCATTGCAGTAAAAACAGAACTTGGAGTAAAATGTAAATTTAGGGACCAAAACAATACCTTGTAGTCTTCAAAAATGGAGAAAACATGGGTGAACATATCAGGCTGCTCCACCACAACTTTCTTGTTCTGTCCAGCTGGTACTGAATCACCAGACTGAAACATTCAATACAGATCATACAGTTTCTGTAATACACCTAGTGTTAAGTCACCTTTTTAGTCATTACAACTGTTAAAATGTCCTAAAAATACTCCATGTTTACTTTAATTATACATACTTTGTAAACCTAAATGGTTCTATACAAAAAAGATGCAGTAAGTTATCAGATAAATATTTTTTAACTACAAATAAATTACACAGATGACCAACTTCATTTATAATATACTTTTAATGAGGATCTTCCATCTCAAAAATAAATCTAGCCTCAAAGTTTACAGTATAAATATAAATTTATTGCCACAGATCTGGCTTTTGTCCAGTGAACTAATTTTTCTATTGATTTTTTTTGGCATAGAAAACAAACAAAAATAAAATTTATCAACACAATATCAAGACATTTGAACAGAAAATCTTAATAAACATAACAAAATTATAAATTACTTTGAAGATCAGTGACGAATGGCCAATGGTCGGGTAATTTTTCAGAAAATATTTTACCTTTAGGCAGCCATAAAAATAAAATATGCAGTGACAAATTAGTTTTTTTCATCTTACAATACAATAAGAAATATTTTAGAAGACTAATCTTAATGCTATAAATTTATACAAATCAAAATGAAACCTAATTTTATAGCAAAAGTTACTTTTACGCTAGGTCTTGTTAGTTATTATTATGTCCCTTGTGTTATATGAATTTTAGTGATGTCCCTTGAATGTCCAGTCTCTGTGTATTGTGTAGCAGTGTTGATGATGACAGTGAGTTGGCTGTGAATGAGTCTTGAGAGAAGATGTGCCATTGGAGTTGTACTATATATAAATAATTTAGTGTTGATGCCATCTTGATGACTTCTACTAATGTACCCCAAATGCCACAAAATATGTAATGTCACAGTTTCTAGTCCAATAGATTTCTGCAGGATTTCTTCAGCCGCTACCATGGCAATAGCCCATATTTTGATAAAAAATCTTATAAGGAAAGCTGTGCCTCTGTCTACAAATGTTATTTGTATGATTCACAACTATGGTACTAGCGCGCATTTTGATAAAAAATCTTATGGGAACTTACAGAAAGCTGTGCCTCCGTATCCAAATGTTGCTTGTATGTTAGATTCAGCAGATCATAAACTTTAGCTATGGCCTGCAAACTTGCTTGTTTTCCTGGCACCAGCATCTGGGCACACACATTCAGGATCACAGATTTGGAGTCACTTCGGTTAAGGAGGAACTGAATCAGCTTGTCCTAAAATATCATTCGAAATAATAGAGCTTTTTAAAATAAAATGAAAAGTTAGTTAACAAAGCAAATTATTTGTCACATTATGTTAAGACATACTTATAGAAAGTCAGCAAAGACACATTTAAAGGTAAGAGTAATGTAAAAATCCATTGAGACTAGTACAAAAATAGAAAATAGGAAAACTAAAAGTAAAGATTAGTTTTTTATTTTTAAAAATTCAAAATGCAGTTTTCTACATTTCTAGTCTAAATGTGTTTTTTTTATATTTAATTTTACATGCTGTTTTTCATATTCCTAAACTTAATTTTGGTCAAAATGTGTAATATTTTAAAACAAATTAAAACAACAATTCACCTTATCTGGAATCATGGTGACCAATGGCTGCAAGTTAATTTGTAGCGTCCATAAGCAGCCTAAAATTTAAGTAAAATAAATATTTAAGCAGTTCTTCACAATACTGGGTATTCTAGCTTGTATTCCATTTTTGTACAAATATATTGACCCTTTCAACACCATTATCACATGCATCATTGTCAACTGGGGCAGACAAAAAATTTCCATAAGTTTCATGAATGCCACTGCCTTCTTAATTTATGTCAAGCACACAAGGAGCTTAATTAACCCAAAACAACCCAGAACATAATTTTCTGAACTGACTATTAAGAATGACCATTTGGATTACTAAACTATTACAAAATAACCTGAAATTGTATCATGCATTAACTTTAGAGAAATGGTTGGACCAGTTAATAATGTATATCTGCTTCATCAAGTACCAACAAGCCAATTAAAGACAATGCAACTGAAAATTTAACTTACCTAGTTTAGCATCAATAACAATGTCTGGTTGAAAGACAATCCAATTTGCAGAATCTAACACTTGTTAAGACAAATATGTGATTAATCTTTGTAATGAATATAAAAAAAACCCCATACTTTCTATTGAGATATAGAGTGAAAATGCTTTCAACCATTAGGAAAATATCTGGTCAAGACTAATACATTAGCAACAAGCAGCTGTATTTCTGTACAATCTGAGTTGTGGTAGCTATTAGTGCAGGCTTAGGCTAAACTCTAAGAATTAAAGAGCCCTTTTATAAATGTTTTTTGCACCATCTCAAGGGGAAATTTTAGTTGTGCTAATTTAAATGAAATGTTCTTATGTAGATTTTCCTTCATTTAGTGACATTTTCTTTATTTAGTAATAGTATATCAATTATTTACATAAGGAGAAAACAATTTATCAAGTCAAGTGGCTCAGCCACCAGCTACAAACCCATGTGCTAATGTATGCTGCACCCTGCTGTAACTAGACAGAGTGATTAAAACATGTGTGCTAGAGTTTAGGGGTCTGGTTGATTAAAAACATGTGTGCTAGAGTTAAGGGGTCTGGTTGATTAAAAACTGTGTGCTAGAGTTAAGGGGTCTGGTTGATTAAAAACTGTGTGCTAGAGTTAAGGGGTCTGATTGATTAAAAACTGTGTGCTAGAGTTAAGGGGTCTGGTTGATTAAAAACTGTGTGCTAGAGTTAAGGGGTCTGATTGATTAAAAACTGTGTGCTAGAGTTAAGGGGTCTGGTTGATTAAAAACTGTGTGCTAGAGTTAAGGGGTCTGATTGATTAAAAAACTGTGTGTTAGAGTTAAGTGCTCAAGGATACAAAGTTCACAATTGTATTCCGTCTTGTCTGTGCCTGCCTGCATGTTCACAGCTGTACATAAAACACATGATAAAGTATTAAAACACATTTTCTTAACAACTACTAGTTTCATTTGCAAGATGTAGCAAAATACTATTAAAAAATTAGTTATTTTGTATATTAAAAAATGAAAGTTTTTGTGTAACTCTTACATGGGAGTAATAGCTTGAAAGGTTTTATTCCCAGCGGTGATAACACAGGATAATGATAATTAACAAATCCATCAGATTTGCCTTCCAATTTAATGTCAAATATCACAGAAGTCTGAAGCAGCCAATAAAAGAGTATCCATAAATATAACAATAAAATCTTTAAAATGCATATTAAAAACTAAATCAAATATTATCAGCTGTAAATAAATATGTGAAATGACCCTTCTTACCTTAGATGCCTGATGATGAACCATGATAAGGTTGTCAACAACGTTAATGGCAAACCGACCACTCATGTCGAGCTTCAAGATATCTGTTTTTCTTGCTGGCCCTTCTCTAGTTAAATTTTTTTTTATAGAAAACTAATTGCTAATTTAAGTTGGCATATTTCAAAATATTAATTTTAAACTTTTTTACTTGCGAAGTAAAAACGAACCATAAAGATATCTAAAAGCAAATCTACTCACTTCTGCAACTGATATAGGACTAGTTCGGCTCCAGTAGACTGAGCTTGAGGGTGCCGCAAGATGACAACATAAACATTTTCATAACTAATTAGAAGAGATGTAACACATTGTCATAATTAATGAAAAAGTTTAAGTATTTTTCTATAGAGCTCAACAAATATGGCTTAACTTTACTTTAAAGTTTTTGCATGTTTCAGCTTATTCATCCATAAATCAATAACCAATACACCAAGCAGCACACAAGTGACAGAAATATAACAAACCACAGCTCACATTGTTGCTATAATTACATCTCTCTCAAGTAGAGACAACTTGGGAGGTCTAGGTATTATTGACAAGTCCACATCAAACTTAGGGAGGCGTGTAATTACACCTGGGCTCTGTGAAAATTAATTTTTTTTCTCCATACTTGCTGAATTAAAAGCAGCATAGCATACAATATTATAACAAACCTATTGAAATCTAAAACATTAAAAAAACAGAAATTATATTCCAACAAGTTCAACTTACTTTGAACTGAAAAGGGTGTAAAGTGTTTCCTAGTGTGCCTGAAGACACTAGAAGTAAACTGCTTGAGTTCTAGAAAATAAAATTTAAAAAGTCATCTTAATAACCTGTTGAAACAGAGAAGAGTATAGGATAATTATGTGGAAAAGGAAAACTAGTTATGTAGGAGATACAGGTCAAATTTTCCCAAAACATCTAGAAGCAACTTACCAGCCAAACATACCAGTTCACTTGCAAACTTATGTTTTTGAGACTTTTAAGTAATCTTTTCTCAGGGATCACCTGGCAAAAAAAAAAAAATAATATTTGACAAACAATCACAGAGAAAAGGATTTGTTGAGCAAACATAAAATCCAACCAGACTTTAACATCGTCCAACTGTTTCACCTGATATTGCTCCAATCCTACACTTGTGACAAATATGATCTCATTGCTGGAGCTCCAAACAAAGCCACGAATTTCTGTTGTTTTACCCTGTCAAGTTATAAAGAGAATTGAAAATGATAGGCTCTCCATTATTTTGATACTTCTCATTAACAAGTTAAACTAAACTACAATGAAGACATTTTAAACTATTATTTCTTGAATTAAAAATTAGTAACTACCTTACAAGCCTGTGAATATTCTGTTTGATCAGTAGTGAAGTCTTCAAGGAAATTGATGAATTCCTAAAAATGAATATTTTTTTAAGTATACTAAAATAATAAGAAGGAAAATAACATTTAGCTTGTTAAAAAATATTTACAGTTTAGTACTAGGGAGTTTGGTGTTGCATGAATACAAGAAATAAATGATAAATATTAATTTTGTTGGTATTGTGTGCAGCTAATTTATCAAACAGGATTCAAGTGTATTAAGTCATGGCACAAGTATAATTCTATCCTAATTGCAACATTTTTTTACATTTATTAGTTATCTTACCACAGTTTTTAGGCTACGTTGAGCTGCTAGTATTTTTTTATCTGGAGAGAATTTGATAGACAGCATGTCACCTCGGTCTTCCATTCTGCATAAGATAAAAGAAAACTATTAAAATAATATACCAAAAACTTAACATCGAAGAATACAAATATGAAAAATACTTTCAATCATAGACAACATCCTTTAATAAATATACAAATTGTGCACCTGAATGAAGCTGAAGCTTTTTCTTCTGGGCCTTTCATAACAACACCCATAGCCCCTCTTGATCTTACAGCAAACACCTGATTTTAATTATAAATGACATTGTATAAGGTAGTCACACTTTTCAATGTATTATGAGGACTTTTGAATTGGAATATAGGAATATATTGTCAACACAACAACTATATATGCAGTAGTACTTTAGATACTCTAATTGATAAAACATAATTTACAAATACCTAATAGTTATTATGTAATTGTTTTAATGCTTTATATGAAACTAAAGCTATATGTTTTTAGCATTTTATAAAGAAGAGTGAAGCAATTACCTGTTTATTTGCATCATCAAAGAAAACATTGTTGGCTTTGCTAACTGGTTCAAATCTTATTGGGTTTTTATTCAACCCAATGTAGTAATTATCATCCTCCATTGTTCAAGGTTTTATTCTTGCACTTCTAGTATGAAAATACAACAGAACATAGAATCTACTTATTAACAAGATATCTCACTGGACTAACAGCACATCATATCTACAGTAAGGCTTACAGTTATGTTAATAAGAAAAGCAATTGCAGTCGAGAAAAAGAGAAAAAGAGTACTCTTATTATTTGTACATATTCTTGGAAACAAAATATGTTAACAATAGAAATAATAAAATCAACTATTTGTTGAAACACATACATTTAATATATTTTAATAAAGAAAAATCACCCTTGGTTTGCATTTCAGTATTTAGGCTTTAGCTTAGCAGGAATAGATCTAAATTCACTATTTTAATTAGGCCTACAGATGAGCAATAAAATAAAAAGATTTTTAATGCCAATAGGCTTGAAACAGTGTGATTGGAGGGGTAAAATTCAATGCAACACCACGAGAAAAGGATAGGGAACTTAAGAAAGGTGCTAAGCCATATACTTGAAAGCTATTTTAGTTCAATCAATTACCAGCAGTACAGACTATAGACTGATATTACTATTACTAGTTACTAGAAGCCACTAGTAGTACTACTGATGTGACTACAGTAGGAGTGTAGGTAGTTACTAAGCTAGACTTGTAGTAAGAGAGTGGTGTCTCCACATAAAAGTGCCCTGAAATGAGATTTTTGGGAAAAGAGCAGTCAAGCATGTGATTTTCAGCTTTGAGTTACAAGCACAATTTGAGATGCAAGGAACTGTTGTTCACAGTTCTTGTATCATTAAATCATTAAATGATACTTGTTTAACTAATTTCTGCAAAATCCTGTAAGGGAGAAGAAACAAGCTGGAGCATACAGTGAAAGATGTGTCATGGTAGAATAGTAATTCATGACACGCAGGTGAATGCTAATTGTAATCCTTGCATGGATCGTTAGTCTAAAACAGTGTGGAAGGTTATTCTGAGCACTGAGTGACTAGTCATTATCTCGAGCGTTGAGTGACAGGATAGGGCCCTGACTCACGATCGTCTGATTCTGGTGAAATAAATACTAGGGTTGGGTAACATATAGGCCTATAATTATATATTGAAACAGGAACCAAGGGGAGTTACTGGGACATGGTCAAAAATCATGGTTATTAATATTACAAATAACAGTAAGTAAAGACTAAAGTAACACCCTAAGAGTGCCCTAAGACCCTAAGTATATTATAAAGTAAGAGGTAGAAGTAGATCTAGAATGGAATAGATCTAGATTAGGTACTAGGATTACGCTCGCGCCGCGGCGTCCGAGGCGTCATTTTTCTCCCGTTACCAGGCTGTTGCGTTTTCGGCGATGGCGCGAGTGACGATGTTCGAAAATTTGCTTAATTTGCCGCTTCCGTGTGATCATTTTTCTTGTGATGATTGTTTTAAGGAGAAAAATGGATATCAAGCTTGTTTGTATTTTTTTGTTTTTTTCTTCTGGACCCAAAAAAGAGGAGTTATTCTTTGAAAATAAGGTAAGTTTATTTTATTCATTACAAAAAAACTATTGAAGACACGCGCACTTTATGTGGAGAATCAAACAAAGGGACCATTTCTACGTATTATCTTTATTAATTTAGAGTTCTAAGTTACTCCCATTGTTAATGGTTCACTCCCTAAAAAGGTATGTACTTCGCTATTTCTGATGGTTACGGCTCAAAACGAAAGGAAAGCCGGAAGTACCGTGAGAGGCCTAGCCCGATCACGCTAACAACACTACCGACTTATTAAATATGACTTTCAATTTACACTGTATTCAGTTATTTTTTTATTATTTAGTATAGACTTTGTTTAATTAATATCACTATATCGTTTGAACTGACAGTTCTAGAAAATAATAGCACATTCCCTCTGTTCTGATTGTAAACGCAGTAGTCCTGTTTATTTGAATTCTTCTAAGATTAATGTTGTGGACTTTTTAGATCTTGAATACTAACAAAATTAGTTTTTTTTTATCTACGGCGTTTATTTTGAGCCATTTTGACGAGAGCTAGATTCTAGAACTGTATAGCCGTGAGCATTAATGACGGGAGTCATTGTCACGCACAGATTGTCGTGAGCATTAATGGCGGGAGTCATTGTCACGCACAGATTGCCGTGAAAATTAATGGCGGGAGTTATTGTCACGCACAGATTGCTGTGAGCATTAATGACGGGAGTTATTGTCACGCACAGATTGCCGTGAGCATTAATGGCGGGAGTTATTGTCACACACAGATTGCCGTGAGCATTAATGACGGGAGTTACTGTCACGCACAGATTGCCGTGAGCATTAATGACGGGAGTTATTGTCACGCATACATTGCCGTGAGCATTAATGACGGGAGTTATTGTCACGCACAGATTGCCGTGAGCATTAATGACGGGAGTTATTGTCACGCATATATTGCCGTGAGCATTAATGACGGGAGTTATTGTCACGCACAATAAGTCATTAATGATGTCAAGGGGTTTGTCGGGAATTTTAATAAGTTGATCTTAATGACCGTATGTCTACAGTGGTTGGTCAGTTTACTAATTAGTTATGTTTCATTTATTTTAATGACATGTTACTAAAGTAATGTTCATTATTCCAGATAGAAACTGCAATTCTACAGCACAGGCAAAGGAAGAACAATGTAATATTAAACAGTGATGAAAATTAAATTTCTTTGATGGAAATAAATAACTTGTTCATCTTTAATTTTCTAAAACAAATTACAATAGTTTAAAATATGGTTTCATATATTAAAAAAAATTAGAATTCACATATAACCATTTATAAAACTTACCAATATCAATATTTATATAATATTAACAGACACACTTACAGAACTTCATTCTGATCAGTTTTCAGCTTGATATTTTAAATAGTTTGAGTTAATTTTGAGTTGTGTGAAAAGTTTCGGTGTTAAAAATATAGAGGGGTACATTCTTCCACCCCCTATTTTAGGCAAACATATATAACTAAAACATACAATTTGATTGTATCTATTTAGGTTTAGGGTTAACTACAATCAGGCCAATTTTGAGACATAAATACTTAAAAGTTCAAATTTGGCATAATTTTCCATTTTACACTAACCAGATTTCGGTTTTTGTAAAAATGCATAATTTATCAGCTCATTTGCTCTTTGAACAAAAAACTTTCAAATTATGATCAATATTTTGATGGTATTAATGATCTCATCCATAGCCACACATTCTGAGCAATTTTCAGCTTGATATTTCAAATAGTTTAACTTTAAACTGTGATTGCATGAAAGCACTGTGAATGCAAAAATAAGGGGGTCCCCTCCTCCCCTCCAGTTTTTTTTAGAATTCTACCTATGAAGTTCTCTTTTTATTTTTTATTATGTTAACATATATGATAACTTAAGTTACTACAAAGTTATAACAAATTTGATCACACAGTTTACAGGCTATGACAATTTTAGTAAACGCTTTAAAAAATTCTAACACAGAAATTGAAAAAAATCCTATGTTAAAAAAAACGCTTTTTTTAATACGAAAAAAAAGCATAACTATTTAACCGTTTGAGCTACATCAAAAATGAAAACTGTTCTGTTATTGTAATTTTCTGCTCCTTTTAACTGTAGTAGTTGTTTCCCCAAAAACCCAATTTTGAAAATTTATCCTAGTACCTAGATCTACTCTTCTAGATAAACTGATAGTGATAGTTGTATTGAGAATAATATTATCATAAGCCTGGCCTAAATCAATAAAATAAAATGACAAAAAACGTCAAAAGTACTTTACTTCTTTAGTATTTAGATCTATTAGTAGGCCTAATGTTTATACTTTATTCTATTCTTTATCTTGACTTTAGTCTTCTTCTTTAGCCAGACAAAAAACCCAAAATAATTAACATCGCTGAAAAATGCAGTCTATGTTATCCCGTGTATAATCTAGATTCTATAGATCTAGCACATAGACCTTGAGATTTGGTGTTTATGTAATCTAGCAAAATGTTCACCTTTTCATTTATTAAGGAAACATTTTAAAGTAGAGAAAATCTAGTTTCTTTAGGAAATTCACCCGTTTCATTACACCCAATTCATGTTTTAGCGAGAGTGGTCTCCCATGTAAAAAAATATCTAAACTCTTTAATCCTTGAATGTAGTTCTAAATATATTTAAAAAATAGATAAGACTTGTTATTGAAATATTAAGTTCTAAAAATACAATCTGTTTATAAAGTTATATTTTAAAAACTGAATTTATGCTTTATGTGAGTCAACTATCTAGCCTTTTGATGTTTTATAATATATTTATTTAATGTGGATGTTAGTTTGAGAGTAACGTCTTACACAAAATAATAACAAACAACAATGGCGGAGGGGTAAGTGTTCGTCTTTCGAATTTGCTGTGATTCAATTTAGGGTTTCTTTTCTATAATATGTTGTGTTTTGGTTTCATGACTAAAAAGAAAATGTTGAAGTGTGTTTAAGGGTTAAGTAAGTTAATAAAAGGCAGATCTAGATCTATAATCTAGGTTTAAAAATTAAAAAGTGAGCAGAAACTGTAACAGTCTGACTCAACTCACTGGACTGAATGACGCAGAGTGCAGACTCACACTCTCACAAACTCACAGTTCTGAGTTCAGTCACACTAACAAAACACAGAGTCACAGTCAGTGACGGCGAGTGAGCCTGATCTGATTGAATTGAGACTGTTAGGTAGGGGCCTATAGGCTTGATAATATTCTGAATTGGCCCTTTGAATTCCTAGCACTACGAGCTCCACCCCCCCCCCCCCCCCCCCCCCCCCGCATTGCCTCAACCTTAATATGTGAGGTAATAGGAAATACGTTTGCGGCCTGTAGCTAGATTATAAGAAAGCAAACTTAAATAAAGCATTTAAAAATTGAAGTTTGCTGTGGTAAAATTTTAGTATATATCAGCGCAAACATTTTACTCCCACCAAGCCTGCCTATTAAATGGGTTGGAGTAAAATGCGAGACAAAAATGTAATGGACCATTTTTCAGCCTCACAGTTTCACATCTGGCATTCTACCAAGACCCAATTATAAACTTACAACAATAATATAAACATTTTAATAGAGCTGGTCATATACCTTGACAGTATCAACTAAATCTTGATCTGTTCCTCTAGTTGTAATATTTGTCAGTAATGTCATGTTTTGACTTTAACATGCTTTTACAAATTCAACAACTTCTTACTAAAAGTTTTTTTTCTGGTGATTTATTTTGAGCACAATAAAATTGAGTTATCTAGGCTATACAGAAAAACATGACATAAAAGAACTGTATTTTATATGACCATAGATTATTGATCAAATTAAGCTAAATATATTATAAACAATTGAACTCAACCTCTGTAGTGTATGCTCAAACAGGGAAAATACTCCAAGCAAGAATGAGAACAGTTGGGAGAGCTGGTTGGGTGGCTGGGTACAGACAGCTAAAGAAAAGGTGATTTTAAAAAGAAATTAATAATGCTGTTTTAAATTAGTTTTTTAAATTCTGTTTTATAATGCATATTTGTTTATTAAGAATTTGGTTATTTTCATTACATTTTACAAAAAAATAATTAATTTTTTAAATTTTAAAGTCGACATCGGCTCTAGAGTTTGTGAAGAAAGATTTAGCAGAATTCACCTGTACAATGCAAAAAGACACAGAGTTGGTTGTAGAGAAAACAAAGGAATCCCTCAATGTAAGTTTCAGCCTCTGTGAATGGCCCATGTGAACTGTCTTACGTGTTGTGTCACATTAAATCACATTTCCGATTCAAAATGCTTGCTTATGATTTAAGGGTTAGTAATTAAACTTGTTTTGTTGTTCAATTTCTATATCAAATCAAATATTTTTCCTGACCTTAACAGAAGGAGAAAACAGCTCAAGCGACAAACAAAGTGAAAGCTGGGTTGACATCATTTTTAGACAATTTGTCGAAGGTTCTTGTGATTCCACCAGATGATGATTATATTCAAATGAAAATTGCACCTGATGGTAGTGGACTGTATGATAGGGGCAAGGTATGTACAGTTTGTATGAACATGGATTAGAAAACTATAGGGTAAGATATGTACAATTTGAATAACATTAGATGGACTAGAAAACTTAGTGGGCAAGGTATCTAGTTTTTTTAAACATGGACTAAAAACATATTCAGATCAGACTATACATATGTACAGTTTTAAAATTGCTTATTTTAATTTTTTAGTTTTGTTTTAATGTCTACCACTTATATTTACCACTTGATGTATCATTTTGATGTGCCATTCGTTCACTGTTCGTAAATGTAAGTACAGTCTATTGTTTTGATACAATTTCTGAGAATTGTAATGATGGTTTTAGGCTCGCCTGAATGCCATTCAACTTGATGCCAGCACCTACATAGATCCTCCTGAGGGCCCACCTGAGCAATACATTATGTGGTTGGAGAGTTTTAATGTTGATGAGCATAAAGGAGAAATATCTGAACTTCTTGTCTCTAAAGTAGAAGTTAGAGCACTTTATACTAGACTGGTGAGTGCTATACACATTTTTTAACTTTAAATATATTCAGATTTGTTATCTTTATACTAGACAAATAAGTGCTGTACACATTCATTAACTTTATACTAGACATGTAAATATTAAATAAATTTGTTAGTTGCATCATTTTTTTTTCTATAGGCCCTAAATAAAATGAAAATTGTGCTAGATTCTGATGTTTAAATTTTTTATAAGTGTGATTAATTTTTCTCAAGGTTCCTGGGGAAGTATCTCATGCAGAATTTTGGCAAAGGTATTTCTACAAAGTTCATCAGCTCCAGTGTGATGAAGCAAGGAAACAAGCTTTAATGAAACGGGCTGAACAGTCAAAAGGGGATTCATTTAGCTGGGATGGTGAGAATGTTTACATATTATGATACAGATTGATTAGTGTTCATCTTTACTTTTATTAATACTAAATGGAAACAGTACTATTTGTTACCTCAGATTATCTGCTATAATGTTGTGTGAGTATAAAAGCATTTTTGAAGTTTTGATTTAAGGATAATACTAAATTAAACAAAAGTATTTTGTTTAAAGAATGATTAAATATAAGATGTCTTATTTTTTTATATAGTATTTTCAGCCATTATAAAAATGTATCTATTTTTAGATGATGAAGAAGATTGGAGTGGAGAAGAAGAAGACAATCACAGTGACTGGGAGAAGATGCCTCGACCGCCTCAGTCAGCATCCAGACAAACCAATTTTCCTGAAAAAGTTCCTGTTTGCTCAGGCAGAGATCAGCAAGGAAAAACTCAACATGTTATAAATAAGGATGTTGATGAGCCCTGCAAACCAGCAGAAAACAAAGCAATTGAAAAAGACAGTAATCTCAGTTCTACACCCGCACCAGAATCATCTGTGGCAGTTCCAGCAGAAAGCAATAAAAGTCCAGAAATTATTACAGAGTTGGGCCCAGGTAAAGCTAATGATGGAACAGAAAATTGTTCAGAAGCTGATAAAGATTTGGGGTACACTGCACATATAAATCCACCAGCCACAGACCTGTGGAGTCTTCACATACCTGATGATGATGCAGGTGCTGTTGTCACAGAACAGGACAGCGTTGAACAGCCAACCTGTTCTGCTGTTGACAGCCAGCTCCAACAAACCCAACAAAGACTGAGTGTCAGTGAACCTGAGGTTTCAGCTGTTCGGCAGGGGACATCATCTAGTTCACTAGAAGATAACCTACCAGTACACGCTACTGCCACTTCTGGCTTAGTTACAAGTCAGCATTCAATTCCACACTGTTCTCCAGCATCCAGTGATGAAACAGGACCTGTTGAATCAACAGCCTCAACCAAAGCCTTACCAGAGGTGGTTCCTGAACAGCCGGCCCCACAGGGTGCTGCAGGTGACTCTTGTGTTGGTGCACCAGCCACAACTTCAGAGAGTGCTTCGGCTTCAACATCTTACATGAGTGTTGACCCAGAAACATCAACATCTGATGTCATTGTTGATCAGTTAACCACAACACCTGGTGTCATTATTGACCAGTTGACCCCATCACCTGATGTCATTGTTGACCAGTTGACCCCAGCACCTGATGTCATTGTTGACCGGTTAACCCCAGCACCTGATGTCATTGTTGACCAGTTGACCCCAGCACCAGATGTCATTGTTGACCAGTCAACCCCAGCACCTGATGTCATTGTTGACCGGTTAACCCCAGCACCTGATGTGACTGTTGACCAGTTGACCCCAGCACCAGATGTCATTGTTGACCAGTTAACCCCAGCACCTGATGTCATTGTTGACCAAATGACTGAGATTCCTGTGGAAAGTTTACCTGCAGATGATGTCAAGAATATTGGCATGACAATCAAAGGAGACATGGTGGTTGTTGGAGAAAATGTCAGCCCGACATCTTCTGAAACCAGTGACCATAAAGGTGATTCTATTATTTTTTTAATAGATATTAAAGTGTAGCACTTTGTTTACATTTTTTTTCTCTGTATCAAATGTACTCAAGTACTGTTTGCTGGTGAGGAGTTTGCTGTTAATTAATCATTAAAAGTAAATTGTGAAAATAACAAGAAACCTTGCGATTACATACATTTTATTTGGCTTTCTTTGCAGTTGATAAAAGTGAGTTGAGCTTTAACTATTATCATATTAATATTTTCTTTTCTGTTTTAACATGTGGTCAACTAACTTGGATCTTCTTTGGTGATGGTTTACTTTTGATTTTAAACCTTTTTTTACTGCCTTATTCCTCTTTGCTTTTTAATTTAAAAATCTGGAAAAAAAAACAATTGCTTTAACTACCCAATTGCTTATTTTTAAACCTGCATACTGAACCAAATTAAATTTTTTGTTCCTAAATTACAAATTATTAAAAAACAAATTAACTCATTTCTGTTTAACATGTTTCAATGTTTATATTTTACTTCTTTTTCCATCACATTAACTTATATAAAAAGAAATGAGCAGTTCTGATTTGACTTCTCTATGTTCATTTAAAAGAGATTTTCTCTGCCTGCTTCCAGAATTAGGGCAGGAAGATGACTGGGAAGATGATTTTGATATTGAAGTCACAGAAGATGACTTAAAAGTTGCAGATGATATAGCCAAACGCCTTGGAGAAAATTTGAATGTTGATGTGAGTATTTATGCTAATGGAACCCACAAAGACATTGGAATAAAAGCTGTTTCTGTCACATATACTTTCATAATTCTTTGATCAGATGCTAAAAAGAATGCTTGAATCTTTATAGAAAATATTACTTTGGAAAGACAATTGTATAGTAGTAGACTAAATAAATAAACCTTTTACTGCAAGATAAGTATTAAAAATAGGCATAGCAACCTCTTGTAAATTGACCAGCTATTGTTTCATCTGCAGGATTTTGATTTTCTAATAGTAATTACATTTTATTTAATAGAGAATTATGTTCTTAAAAATATGAAAAATTTAGCTACATAAATTATCTAATTTTCTTTTTCTTTAATAAAGCACTACTAAATGCCAAATTTCTGTATTTTTTTAGGATGACTGGGAAAATTGGGAATAACACCATCACTTTGTTTATCTTACTTTCTGTGGGAGGAATTGAAACCTGGGCAACTCATCATGTCAGGATGCAGTCACTGTGTTACTTACATGTTTCCTGGTGGATTATCTTTTCTTATTTCAGCACACACACACAGCAGAGTTTTAGAATAAGATTTCATCATCATTGAGAAAAATTAACAGTACAATTTCTATATAACTATCACCCTTTTTTATCTTTTTGGGTTTTAGGAGTTTAATTTTTATTTAACTATAGCTTTGACATAATCAATATTTAATATTAACACTTGTGTAGACAGTAGTTCCAATTTGTAATCTTAAAAGTACATATCAGCCATCATGGTTTGAGAAAACAGGTACATCATTTTATTTCATTGTTAGGAGAAAAACATTTTTTTAACTATTCACATATTTTTGTTACAAAGAATTATTTTTTGTGTGTTCTTGTTAACATTTTTATCAATTTAAGTTACAGAAATGTTTCCTGCAATGTCAATATAATGTTTTCTATCAATTTTATTGTTTTGCAATTAAAGATGAAACTTCTGCAGTTATTTTTGTGAATGAAACCAGATTTATCCGAAAACAAATGTGAATTTTCTGAGATAAATGTTTCATTTTTTAAAACGTTGTACATAAATTGGGCGCATTTAATGGCATGACTCCATCGGCTGTGAAAACCTTGTCTGATTACTGTATTGGACGGATAATACTAATAAAATAGCATTTTATGAATCAAACTTTATGTTCATTTTTTTTAATGTTAAAATAGTTTTTTGATCCTCCAAGAAAAAAAATGTTTTTAGCTTAAAACTTAAATTAAGTCATCTTGCAGTGCACATGATAAAAGTATGTAATTTGGTTAGGTAATATAATATGGAAAGATTGATGTATTTTTAATTTGTTGATGTGCTTTCTGCCCACTACAATTTACATTCTATTTTAACAGTTAGTCCTTTAAAAATATGTCTTCTAAGATTTGAAGTATTGTTTTTAAAAAAAATAAATATACACATTGAAAATAAAAAGCCTCTTATAACAGACTGGTGAATTTATAATTCCTCAGTTTTAAATCTTATCCCCCCTCTCCCCAGTCTTTAACCTCATGAGTTATAGACATTGTAACAAACCTTTTTAATAGTGAAACTATTTCAGTTGGGTATTTTTACACTGAACAAGGAACAACCTGAACATTTTGTTTCCACACCTATTGTCTGAATCACTGGTATACACACCTGACCTTTTTTTAATAACATTGGCAGTAATGTATTGATGGTTTCTGATGTATGCTTCTATAATCATCTTTCAATTAAACGACTGCAAATGCATGGCTTTTGTATATTAATTAGTGTAGTTAAACTACCACTTGGGCAGTTTTGTAGCTTCGTAACCATCGGTCAGTGTACCTTTGCTGTATTTTTTAGATCTGTGAAAATCATTCACACTTGTTAAAAGCCAAAAAACATACTTTGTAATGTACAGTGTATAATTTCAAGATTTTTCAAGGTTTTTCTCTCTTTAAAATGTATTTAATATTGCTGGTTGATGAAAAGGCTAATTATTCAATTAAACATATTTTTTAACAAGTTTTTTGTGCACATTTTTTATAAAACAAAATCATTTATAATGCAACAAGAGTTTATTGAAGTTAATAAAAGTATAGGCATTAGTATATAAAGTCATACAACAATGTAAAATGAGACACAAAGGACATTCAACAGAAAATACATAATTCAAATTTTATGTAAAACCTGACCAGGCAGGGTGATTAAAATAAAAATTCCATTACAGGTTTAAAAAATGGACTGGCCTTAATCTTGAAGATTAAGAAAATAATGCTTGGTGGTAGTTTAAAAGGTTGGTTATAAAGCTTTGTAAAAATAAAGCACAATTAATCTCAAACAATAAAAAGAGCGATTTTATGCGCCACTAACCTTTGTTGATGAAATATAATTTCAGCAAAAATTGCTGTTAAAAAATTCTCCCAATCCAGCAGCTTATAACCACTTTAGTGTTAAGTCTGCTTATAAATGAGACAAAATGGTTAAAAAAACAACAGGATCAATAGCTGCTTGATTAACATTAGGTAATAGCAGTAACAATTATGTAAAAAGTTTAACAGAGTCTGCAAAAGCAAACATCAAAAATTTGCAATAGGCTTGAGGTATAGTTACACAATAAAAAAAAGATGCATAAAACTAGGCAAATTTACATTGAGGTCAAGTTTTCTTGTGAGATCTCAATAAACAACAAAATACAATTGCCATTAAAACAAAATGCAATAGAAATTTTCTAACCTACAAAAACACTTTTAAAATTTAATATTCTGTTTGTAAAAGTCAACAATATATTTACATTGAGCATTTTGTATATAAAGACAAGATACCTCATTAACTTAAGTGTTTGCCCTATGTTCATTAAGTATATTAAAATGTATTTTATGTTAACTTTATAAATACAATAGGTTGTTAATATGTAAGCATTGAAAACAAAAATTATTGTATAAAAGTAACAAACTTATAAACCATGAAGTGTAAAAATCCAGTCAAAATACTATCAGTAAACATGAACACTATGAATAAGAACTAGAGTGATGTCCCCTTGGTACAGGAGGTCTTGAACTCATTGATTTATCTGGATGCGCCAAAGAATCAAACATCAACCTTTGTTTCACTACATCTCTGGAATGTTTTTTCACTTCTGGTTCACCTGGAGACCATGCTGATTTAGTTAAAGATGGTGTCAGTTTCTGGCTGGACCTAAAGCTGACACGAGGGGCATGCTGGGAGTTGTCCAGACTCTGTAAGGGCTGACGTGGGCTCTGGACCTGAGGTGCTGAAAACCTCTTAGATCTCTGGACATGAGAGCTAACCAGTGGAGGGTCTTCCAACACTTCTTTGTAATAATCTGCAATGTGCTGGGCTGATAGCTGAAGCTCATTGTCTGTTAACTTTTCAATGCTGTGGAACTGGTTAAAACTTACAGTTTGGCGTTTGCCTTGTTTTACATTTGTCTCCTTTTTATTGACGTAGTTTGGAAAAGCATGGCTTTGAAGATTAGAATGTGACAAAAATTTGCGTTTATCGGGCATCTGTTGTTTCAAACTTAAGATATCTGAGTTATGCTTTTCTAAGCTGTGTTTTGTGGGATGTTTTAGATCATATTGTTTCATCTCTTTAGTGGTTTTAGTTTTTTTTTTTCCATCTGCATGCAAATGAAAATCATTCCAGGATTCACTATTTAAATCAAATGAATTCCTTTTTGCGCAATGTTGCTTTCTTGGTGCTATCATTTCTAATGAGCTTGCTTCATCGCAGCTGTACAGTGGGGGATGATACTGCCCTGCTACGTACCCATTCTCTGTATCTTGTTCAGGTTTTTTGTCTGTTTTTCTCTGTTCCAATGGGAGCTTAGAGAAATGAACATTGAGCTTTTTAGTAGAAGACACCCCACACTTTGAATTTTGATCTAGAGTCTGGCACACTTCAAAACATTGTGGAGACTTGACACTGGGCGTTTTTTTCATGCTTCTTGCAATACTTTCTTTTTCATTAGTAGTATGGCGAATGTGATTTTCAGTTCCTTGGTTATGTTTTCTAATTCTATGCTGATTTAAATCTGGACTGGTCAATTCTTCAGAAGTTGTCAAAAAACCTTTTTTGGTAGGTAAGTCTGATCCAAAATGTTTTTTAATGGGAAGATCAGACCAAGAATTACTTGGGTGAGATAACTTTAATGATTTGTGTGACACAGGAGTTCCGGAACCATAGGACTCCATGATGTACTTCAACGCCAGGCTTTGTGGTATGACTACTGCAGTCAGGCTTTCAATCTCATGCAGTTTTTTGCTGTCTGAATTCAGGCTACCTAATAGTTCTGTGGGAATTTCCAACAGCTTGAAGGCATTGGGTGAGAGCTTAGCGTCAGCTTGGCGAAGACTTTCCAGCTGGTTCATCTTAGATGCTGAGCTGGCCGGTGAAGACTCTGTGCTGTCATGGAACAGGGAAGATGCACTACGGCTCCTGCCAGAGGTGGCCAAGTTTTGCACTGGTGACCCTTCCCTGCTTATTCTAAGATCATCCAGGGTTAAAGCCAGACCCTCTCTTTCAGGAATGTGGGAGTCGCTGGATGAACCTCCAACATAACTTTGCAAGGAATTAGCCATCACAGCCACCAGTTCTAGATCAGTGAAAGGGGAGCTGCTTCTGTCATCATCCTTTGTGTTCCACTTGTCTTGACAGCTGACCTGCCCATGTGAAGACATTGAAGACAGATCTGTCTTGGACTTGTGTTGAGACTGAAAATAATCTCTCTGAGAACTCAAGTATGATGTTCCACTGGTATTTAATTTACTGGCTGTCAGTGTAGAGTCTTGAGGAAAAGAGAAATTACTTGCTTTGGAAAAATCGCCTGGGCTTTTGTATGATTCACAAACGACTGTCTTGTCTTTGGTGCCTACAAAACGTTGTGTCCCTAATGACACAGCAGTAGTTTTATCAAAGCTAGAATCTGGAGTTGGGTCTAAAGCTTCAACAATATTTGGCAAGGAACTGAGAGCTTCTCGTCTGGAAAAGTTCATAATGATGTTATGCTTTAGAGACTCTTTATCTTTAATGCTTGAACTAGAATCCACGAAGGCTGTATTGTGATTATGAGAACTTGTATTGTGATATGAGTTAAAGCTTTCATCAACTGTAGAATGAACAGAGTTACAGGAGGAGATGGATTGACTTCTGTTTGGTGTCCCTTCATTAGAAGAAGGATTCCCAGTTGCCGCAGCAATGGTTGCGGCAATTGTAGCTCGTAGACGGCCATTGACATCTTTTAACAAATTAGCAACATTGAGGGGAGATAAACTTTTAAGGTGGCTGCTGAAAGAGCTAGAGTCACTGTTCTTTTTCTCTGTGGAAGATGAGTCATCAAATCCAAGCACAGTGAAGTTCTCCACTATTGTTGACTGCCTGTTGTAGTCGGATGATCTGGCCCACGAGCTTCTACTTAAAGCTGGGCTATTTGAGACAGGGCTGTGGACATTGTTATCACTGGCGCTCACATCACCGCCTGATGTTTTGAAATAGTTGAGATCCACAACGTCAAATCTTGAGGCTTCTTGTGAAGACATGTTCAGGTCATTTTTATTCAACCCTGGTGATAATAAATGATTCTCACTTGAAGTTGAGTCATGGGAGTTATCCGATTTAATTGAAGGTGTGTATTTCTTAGGGGCAGATAGTTCCTCTGTTGATGCTAGAGAACTCACAGATGAACTCCCAGAAGAGCACACCATCCCACTTTGCCAAGCTCGCTGTAGATTCAGCTGTGACACATTTGGCCCAGTGCTGGTTTTGTTTGAGCTGAGAATGGACTGGTCAACTGCCCAGGTCTTCTGGTTACAGGAGGATTTGGAGTGGAGAGAACTTTGACTGACATTAATGCTTGTCTCTTTCATGACCCCCACAGGTCTCGGAGACTCAATGCTGAAAATGTGAGGTCCACTGCTGCCCTGTAACAAAGTGGTTAAATGTTAATAAAATGTTAACACTTGTACACATCTACATTTATTAATATACCTTAACATTAAATCTTAAGAGTAAAAATTAAAAGATACTTAAAAGTTAAACTTAAAACTACAGACAATCTCAAAAGATATACTTACGATAGACCTGGATGTTTCTAGAGCCCCACTGGGGTGTTTTAGAATTCTCTTTAGGCGACTTCTAGACCCAGGGTGTAGAAAAACATAATACAGGATCATACACAAAATGCCTAGAGAAGAAAGAATTTAAGATATCAAAACAAATAATGTGAAGTAGTTTAATAAAAATAGTTATTAAACAATTAAAAATCTTAATAATCTTTATATAATGTAACAACCAAGAATAACATTTAAAACATGAGAGAAATATGTTTCAGCGTTGCACGTAATCAAAGTAGATTCCAACTCACCAAGAAAAAATCCAGCAAACACAACCAGACAGGCAACAAGGATGAGGTCAGCACCATTTCCCAGCACAAGAAAGATCGTTACCATTCCAATATTTTCCAGTAGCACCAACAAATAATAGGCCACAATTCTCCATCTAGATGGCCCATCATTGAGGTTTAGGAAGACAAATATATAAATGAATGCACAGGCCAGTCTTAACAGCCATGTCTCGCAACAACCAGTGCCAAAGTCTGTACCTCGGACAGAGATGCAGATAAATGCTACCAACCAATGCACTCCTGAAAAGCATTAACAAAAATGGAATAAGTGAGCTGTTTCAATAACCAAGTAAGATTCATTTAATATATCAATAAAATAATAAACATACAAAATAGTTATGCCAAAACAAATAAGAATTAAAAAAACCCATCATTTTATTGTGTAAATGTAATACCCTAATCAACCTTAGCAGCCAAAATTTGAACTGAGAACTCTGTTTTGATCAAATATATGTTAAATACACTGATCAAATACATACATTGGAAACTATAGATGAAATCAAGGTGTCAGCTTACAATATATATATATATATATATATATATATATTAAAAGTTTCATGATGAATAATGATAATGATTGCCGTGCATAATCAGCTGAATTGTCTATTTGAGCTTTTATGCTTTCATTCCAAAATAAAAAACAGCCCAAGAAGAACAACCATACAATACACTTTAGTCTCACAAAAGCTATATATACTGACCCATTACTGCCAAAATCCAGCTGTTATAAGTCCTAGCAAAGAAAACAAATGCAGATATTCTGGCTCCAATCATGAACAGCTGCCAACCCCAGTAGAGGATCAAACGTATTAAACGGCGCCGGTATAGTGAGCTGTGAGCTCGTCTTTGACAGTCTGAGTAGGCTGTAACTGACCAGGACAGAGACAGCAAAGAGCAGGCAATGGAGATTCCTAGATGTGAATACAAATAAATTAATTTACTGTGAATCGCTGGGAAGTTGTCAGTATTTAAGTATTGCCCCAAAAAAATTCTTTTAATAAAATTTCACACTAAGAGCTTCTTCCACATTGCAAAATAAGCAAACTGGCAACATACATATAAAAAAAAAATAAAGTTAAAACAGACCTGTAAACCACCCAACACCTTTACCATCCATGATGACATAAATCTGAAGTATCAGTTGTGGAGCACTCTCCAAGAAAGTTGCAAACAGGCGGAGAATTGCTGCATCACTTTGAGCTTTAAGTGCATTTTGAGTACATGAGGCCTTATTTGTTCTAAAGGAATTGATCCCATAGTAGATCACTGACAAATATCTGAGAAAAAATATTTTTTTTACCCCACAGTGCTAAGCATGTAAAACATTTGAAAAAGTATAATTAACAGTTGACACAATAACTAGTTTTTAGTGGTAGCAACAAAAGCATATTTTGTAACAGTATTCAACACTATTCTTTGATATGACAATTTCTTATTTTACCTATGAACAGGTGACAGTAAAAGTAAATGAGAGATGAACCCAAATGGAGTTAATGTCTTATCATTGATGTGCCAGGCCAGACTGAAGCCACTCATGATAATGGAAGGTGCAACAATAAATAACACCATCAGCCAGCCACATATTGTCTGATCTTCAAGCAAGAACTGTACACAAACTAGAACATCTGTTGAATAATAGAAAAAAATGATTTGACTTATATACATGAATGGCATTGCATTTGATAGAAACCAAAAAAGGGCTTACAAATTGATATTTTAATGGAATTCAGCATCATACCTCATCCAAAGAGTAGAAAATTAGGAAAAAAAAAAACCACTTCATTATTTCTGTTTAAGAAATCTAAATCTACTTGAATCAATACTTCGGCAAAGTTAAATTTTTATTAAAATGCCTAATTTAAGCCGATGGCCCAAAGACTAGTCTAGGCCTAACTAAGACATTATAAAAACTAAATATAACTTGACTTAGAATAATTAAGGATAGGCAATCATCGACATCAACCAGTGCATGATGTTTTTGGCCACATTTGCGCTGATCGCTATGCGGTCAGTTAAATCTTCTCTCTAAGTAGCACGCGATCTAAAAATAGATAACAGGACTGCCCGACTTTTTTCGTCCTCTTAGCAATTCAATGTTAACATAAAGGTAGGTGCGTCCTACGGAATTCAAATAATACTCGGAATGCTCCGCGATCTGCGTAGTCACTTCGGATGTTTTATTTAGCATTTAATTAATTGCGATAAAGCTGAAAAGTGAAAAGAATATCACTTAGGCTATCTACTACCTACAGTTTACTTCACTAAGTAAAACTATTAGTAGGTAGATGTGATATAGCCTATCCTAGACACTAGATCTAAAAGCAAAACTAGATCATGTTTAGTTAAAGAATAGTAAAAAAAAGTAGAATGTCCACTGAAAAATTGGTAAAAAAATAAAATCAAAGTGTGGTAATCTATCGTTTTAGGTACGTAAAATAGCCCACAGCTAATAATGTACGAAAAAGTTACCCCATTGTCAAGGCTTTAATAGAAGTATATTGTGATATATTTGTGTCAAATATTATAGATAAATGAATAATAAACCTAAATGAATGGCTAAATATATCAATATAGGCCAGAAATTAACTTTAAACAGCAGTGTTTGCGAGCAAGGTTTGCTATAGGCCTGTAATATATAAACAGCAGCCATTTGTAAAATAGAGTGGCTTCCCCTGAATCTCGCAAAAAGCCAGACCCCCCCCCCCTAAAATGAGTCACACCTCAACATACAGCCCCCCTCAAAATTGCAGTTTAATTTTTTTAAAACATCGATATTTTTCTAAAATCTTGTCTAAACATATTAGGCCTACAATTTATTAAAACAGTTATCTAAAATGCGAAATAACGTCTAAAATTCGTTTTCTAACAATCCTTTTTTATAATGCAAAAATGTGACGTCGCAACATCTGATCCCCCCTCCCCCTCATCACACATCGCCACAAAATTACGGACCCCCCCTCCCCCTATGAGTGTGACGTCATTTATGGATGACCCCTGTAAGTATAAAGAAAAAACTTTAACAAGATGACTGCTATAGTAAATGAGCATGTTTGCATCTGTTGGAAACATCCGTAGTCTTCATTTATTACTGAAAAGTTTTAATTCAATTGTTTAAAAACAGCTAGACTACATAAAAAATGAAACTTTGAAACATTTTTGTAAATTTCAAAACTAAAATCCTTCTATATTAATAATTATTAAAATTTAAGGAGTCACCTGTTTTTCACAATACTAGTTGCGGGCGATTTTACGTACCTAAAGCGATAGATTACCCAAAGTGTTATTATAAAATATAATTTATTATAATAAAATAAACCCTGTGTGAAGTGAGCATCACTCACACTGAGCCCACTGCAAGATAGAAAATTAAAATAAATTTAGTCATGTACCAGTGCTGACGTCCAAAACAAAGGTTATCAAAGAGACAAAAACAATAGCGATATCTACAACATTAAAATGATTTTTTGCCATTTTGTTAAATTATTGGGAACTTAAAGTTTCTTCATTATGTATGTTCAAAAATTGGCGCTTTTGTTTATTTTGACAATTGCCATTTTATTATGTGTTGATTAAAAAGTATAATTGTTATTTTTGCAGGTGAAAACAAAACAATACTCTTTTCTTGTTTTAAATAAGGATCAATAAAATATATTTTCTAAAAATTATTATTTAAACAAAGCTTATATTTATAGGTATTCTATATTATTTGTTTTTAAAATATCCCGGCTTACATAATACATAATTATAAGCTTATATTTATTTTTCCATATAGCTCTGGTCGATTATATATTTTTAATAACAAGGGAGAACTACTCTGGTTTTGTTTAGTATACACCTGAAGTCAATGAATTTAAGTATTTAAAAACAATGAAAAACATTTGAAAAGATTTTAAAATATTCTAGACAATTTACGATGTTGTTTTGTTAATGTTGAATTCAGTTAAATTATGTAAACATTTTTAACTATTGCAAATTTAAAAATAGTTTAATAAGACCATGGATGATGATGAAAATGACGTTCAAATTATCAAAGTTACCACTTCTTCCAAGAAAAAGCAGGTTGGTAGACTAAAGATTAAGAAGAGTAAACTCATACTTACAAGTTAATAGTTATTTAGACTAGTCTAGAGACTGAAGAGTAAGGCTAAGTAGTTATCTATTTGTTAGTTCTTGTATTAGTAGATCTAGCTACTAGACTCTAGGTCTAGATCGACATATGGTAGATACTAGAATGTCAGAATGATATGGGCTGTGTTTGTGGTATTAGGGATTTTGGTAAAAAAGCACTAATCATCATATAAAAATAAAAATTACATATTCTTGTAGAGCTCAACAAAATGAAAACAAAACAAAAAAGATTTTCTGTCTAGCTCAAATAGTTTTTTTTTTGCGAATTTTTTTGTGAGGGGTGGAATCCCCTTACTTTTGCATTGGCCAATTGTGACAAGTCATGGTATACCTGAATAAATTGAGCATAGTTATTTTAATTGCAGTTGTATTGTGTTCATATTTGCAGAGTTTAGCTAGAATGATATATAGAACTTGTAAATGCTGTTAAAATGAATAAAAATAATACAGAACTTATATTTTTGTGTTGGCTTCCTCCCATAACCCCAAAAAACTGTGTGCTGCGCAAATATGAAAATGTTTCTAAAGCCATATTTTATATAAATACAGCAAATGAAAGAACTACAAAGTTTGAAATCTAAAGTAAATGACTTGAACACTGTTATGTGCATATAATATTATAATTGCCTCATTATTTTGGGCAGGTGAAGTAGAGTCCATCTTTAAGCCAATTTGTTATAAAACTGCTGCGCAAATATGAAAATGTTTCTAAAGCAATATTTTATATAAATACAGTGAATGAAAGAACTACATAGTCAGAAATCTAAATGACTTGAACACTGTAATGTGTATGTAACTGCCTTGTTATTTTGGGCAGGTGAAGTAGAGCCCATATAAGCCATTTTGTAATAAGTGAAATGAAGTTATCAGATCAATGTTTTTATGTGTGAATTGTGTGTGTATGGATTCTGATTTTCAGCATATAACTATATCTAAGGGTAAGTAGAACTTGAATACTTAAAATTACAGTTAGCACAATGTTTGTATAGCAACAGACAGGTAACCTAGATCTAGGTCTGACTCTTGTCAGTCTAGTCTGACAAAATTGGATTTTAGGAAAAACATTCTGCAAAACTAGAACTAGAGCTGAAAAAATTAAAGATGGGTATGTAAATATATTTTGAGATAAAAAATTAGGAGATTTGTTTGCACATTCCATAAGAATGCTGTTGTTAGTTGATCAAACTTAAAGGCCGGAAGATCGGGATGAAAAAATATAACAATGGTGGCAACGCGACCTACATACAGTGACCACCTCTAAACGAGTATATCTAATGTCAGAGTCAAAATATCCAAAAACAAATATCATTTCCACATATATAAGATATGTCTGCTCAGTAATCTTCACTCATCTAGAATAACCTTTTAAAAAATCGTGATTCCAACGTATTTGAAACTAGCCTTCATACAGGGGGAAGACCAAAGCAGAGACAGCGTGCAATCAGATCGCTAAGCCATCAAAACAATGGGAAAACCATTCTACTTTTCATTTAACATTAGGAAATGACCTTTTAAACTTAATTAATTACCATAAATTAAAAACTTATTAGTATGCAAAACCAAATCTCGTGCGCCCGGTATCAGAAAGTAATGGGCGATTTCGGGTCATGTTTTTACCGCGATCTCGGCCGATACCGACAACCCTAGTGGTATCAAGGTTAGTTTCAAATACGCTAAAAACTCGATTTTTGAAAAGTTTTCTCTTAGATATATTAGTAAATGCTCATTTGAAAGTAGTCACTGTATGTAGATCGCATTACCACCATTGTTATATTTTTTCATCCCGATCTGCCGGCTTTTAGTTTTGATACACTTGCGCTGCAAGCATTTTTTGGGGGTAGGGGAGGAAGACAACAAAGAGAATACTTTCTGTGTAATTTTTATTCAGTTCAACAACATATACAAGTTCTATATATTATATCATTCTAGCTAAACTATGCAAATATATACAAAATACAACAGTGAATAAAATGAATATGCTCATTTAAACATATATTCCATTACTCATCACAAATGACCAATGTTAAAAAGGGGGATTTTTACCCTTCATGAAAAAATTCATTAAAAAAACTATTTGAGATAGAAAGAGAATCTTTTTGGTTTTGTTTTCTCCTTATGGAGATCTGCAAGAACATTTTTTTATATGATGATATTTGTTTTTTTTAACCAAAATCCCTATATGGGATGATATAATTAAGTATCAACCCTGTGTATCATATCCCTGGCTGGCAGAATGAGTCCCTCAATCAACCGGCAGGCTTGAGTTAAATATAAACACAAAACTTATTCTAGGCAGAGTAGTTTTTTAAAAATATGAATTTTCCAAGGTTTGAGAGTTGTTGTATAGGCACCTATATTTTATAAAAGTTGCAACTTGTAGACTCTAAACATAAAGTTTTAGATTTAGGTGCTAAAGTTGCTAGAAGATGTTGGCAATAGAGTATGCAAGTAAAATAAAAACTAGAATAACAGATGACTAAAAATGATTTTGTGGTGTGGCATCATTAAATAGTGACTACAGTAGGCCTACAGATTTACAGTTGAACCTCTTTGTTGCTTTGTAATCTACCATTTAGAATATTGTTTCAATTATGGTAATTTTATTTAAAAAATGTGTATTTGTCATTTCAGAAAGAATTATCCTGGGTATCATCTTCATTTGATGTATTTGAACCAATTGAAGGAATACCAAAATCATTGAATACACCTAAGCAACATAATGTACCTAAAACGAAACCACGAGGAACTGGTAACTAATGTATTCAGTTAGGTTTCTATGATGTGCACAGTTTGTGGGGCACATAAACTAAATATAATCTTGTCATATGATTCTTTTAATGACCACTTGAATTCCTTATGTTCAAGCTGTGTATGGTGATACACTGTTTTATATGGTTAATAAAGTGGCAGTGTTAGTGGGCATGAGGATGGTGTGGTCGTGTGGTAGAGCGCACCGCTGCTAACTGGAAAGTCTTAAAGATCCCAGGTTCAAGTCTGTAGGATGCCCCTGAGTTCATCCAACTGTGATGGGTACCTGACTTAGGGAAAGTAAGGTCAACTTGCTCTAGTACTGACCTTTCATATGCCGAGGTCACAGATAGGTGGACTCTACTATTTCATCTGCCCCATAGACCACCAGGTTCTAAAGGGTAACTTACTATTTTTAGGCACTGGTAACAAAAAAATTGGGATACAGTTTTTAATGTGTCTTAGGAAAGATACTTGAATTTTAAAATACTGATAAAAAGGTATTCACATCAAACTGAATGCAAGCTGTTTATTATAATTTGACACCATTTTGTTTTAAAGCAATCAACATTATGGGGTTTATTCAGATTTGTTTTATCTATTTCATCACCTCCAGGATCTCAGCAGAAACTGTTGACTTCCTACACCAATGGCAGCCTGTCCAGAAAGCGCCAGAGAGATCCATTTGACCAGACCGCAGGTCTAGCACCGATTCAAAGCTCTCTTAAAAGTGCTGCCAACTCTGAGCTCTGGTTAGACAAGTACAAACCTACCTCCAAGGTGAGTCACTTCACACACTTTCTAAACTATACAACTAACTATTGTTATTATTACATTCTTAATTGTACAATTAACTATTGTTATTAATACATTCTAAATTATATAGTTAAGTTTTATTGTTATATTCTTAACTGAACAATTAGCTATTTCTCTTATTAACTGCCTTACTAATGTCACTATTTTTGTATATGTAACAAAAGTTAGCAAAATCTGCATACATTTCTTTATTTGATCCCTTCATAAAACCACATACAATAGAGGATATTTAATTAAATAAGCAACCATTTTTCTCTTGTCCTTAGACAGATTTGGCTGTACATAAAAAAAAAGTCGATGAGGTTTCTGACTGGCTGAAACAAAGCACATCAGACTTCCACAAGGTAAGAAGAATATAATTTTTGTTCTAAGTAATATAAACTTTCATGAGCAGGATTTACATTAAAATTACTACAATGTAATAAGGGATTATCTATTTATGATGTCCACAAAAGAAAAATTTAATTTTATAACTACATAGACCCCTCTTAGCCCATGTATGTACACAGAAGTCATTTTTTCTCACTCCCTTTCCCCCTGTTGTGTGGACATTATACATCAAAGACCAAGTGCTTGATCTTCAGTCTTTTTACCTCACTAGAACGAAGCTTCAATTTTACTACTTACTGGGCCATCCGGTGCTGGTAAAACTATCTGTTTGCATCTGCTTTGTGCAGAGCTTGGCCTTGACCTTCAAGAATGGTCCAACAGCTCAGAGCAAGCAGCAGACCAGTGGACAGATGAAAACTTTCATTCATCAGGTATTTATCTCCTGTAGTTACCTGCCTTGCTGCAACTTTTTTCCTGTTATACATTTGGCAATGGCATCTTTTGGGATTTTTGATAATTTTATTAATACAATTTTCGTTTTTCCAACTACACTCATTCACAACAGCAGTAATTGTTAGTTTTATTTTAGTTAGAATTGTGGTTAGCATAATTTGCTTTGATCTAGAAATGAATGTTTAGACATATAGGTTTGGATCAGTTTAGCATTGGATGTTTATTAAATATTATTATTTATATATTTTCAGAGGGATTCAATTTTGATGTTTATAAAATATTATTGTTTAACTATCTCTCCAGAGAGGTCCAAAATTGATGTGTATCAAAGCCAGTCACAAAGTGTGATCTTCCACAACTTCCTCTTGAGAGCAAACAAATATCACGCTCTTGATCTGATTGGATCTGGTTCCAGCACCAACATAAGCACAAACCAGATGAAGAAATCCGTGATAGTGGTGGAGGATATGCCAAATATTTTCTTCAGAGATTCGGCTCAATTTCATAATATACTCAGGTAATTGTTTCATATTTTAAAACTGCTGCTTTATGCCATTTTATTTATTACCATAGCTTTTCCATTGTAGTTGATATAAAGGTGTCGGAACATTTTCTTGTTTAAAAAAAATTATTGTTGATATTTTCACGTTGATAGAAATTTCCATGTCAAAATAATTACTACCATAGCTTTTCCATTGTAGCTGATATAAATGTACCTGAACTTTTTCTTGTTTAAAAAAAAAATAAATGTTGATATTTTCACTTTGATAGAAAGTTTCATGCATCTGGTCGCCGCCCTCTTGTGTTCATCATGAGTGAGTCCAACAGCAGCTCGTCAAACATCCAGAAATTATTTCCTAAAGATCTTCAGCTCCAGCTTGGTATAACATCCATCAGGTGAGTTCATACACACAGCTGCTTTAAGCATTGTTGGAGTCTAGGTAATAGTATAGTTTAATTGTGTTCAGTCATTATTTTAGAATTATAGGGTGTTGGCCTGAGCAAGATACACTGTAATTACATTTGTCATTATCAAATATTGTGCTTTGTTAGATAGCTTTTCCTTCTATCTAAAATGTATGTAGTTCACAATTTAAAGATATTTTTAAAACCAAACTTAACAGCTTCAACCCAGTAGCACCCACAATGTTGGTCAAGGTTTTAAACAGAGTGATCAGTAGAGAAGCTGGACAGGTAAATAGCTCAACTCATTTACCTCAGCAGTTTGTTTTAACTCAACCTACATATGACACGTTTTTAAAAAAAAGTTAAGAGGACATACATTTTTTAAAAAATGCACATTTTTTTCAGTCTTGTGGTTTAAAATAGCAAGTTTATTTAAATATTTGTGTTTTGTTTCAGCTAAAGTTTGCACCTCCTAGCATATCTGTGATAGAAACCATAGCCATGTCATCTAATGGTGACATCAGGTCAGCTTTGAACACTTTACAGTTTGCCTGCAGGCAAGGTAAAATCTAGTCAACTTCTTGGCACAGGTTCACTGTTTAAAAATAAACCTGTCTAAAGCAATGCATTTATTTATGTCTACTCCAACCTATTGTGATGTGTTTTGTTTTAGATACAATAGACCTGAAGGGATTATCAAGATACGCATCTAAGTCAAAGGGGAAAAGATCCGTATCTAAGTCAGGAAGTGTATCCAGACAGGCTAGTGATGATGGCACTGACACCTCCTCCATTATAGGGGCTAAAGATAAAACCGTCTTTCTCTTCCACTCCATCGGAAAAATTCTCTACTTTAAAAGTAAATCAGTTTTATCTAAGCATGCATTATGTTTTGTGTAGTTTTTTTTAATAAGTTGCTATGTTGATTTCTGTTACATTAAGTTAATTAAAAGTAAACATTGACCCACAGGGGGAGAGCCAAATGAACAAACATCTCTACCAAAGCACTTGAAAAGCTATGAGAGACACCCTTTATTAACAGACCCAGAGGTAAGATTTGTGCTTCTCTATCTGGCAGGTGTAACTAACAGAAACTGTAATACTCTTGTAAACATTAACTGTCTTTTGTTTAGGTTTTATTTTTATATTAAATCTTAATTTTTACAGAAAACACTTTATTTTTAACTGAAATTTTCTTATTTATTCTGTTTATAAAATATTGTTTTTATTTAGTCACTGAATTGTAACAAAGTATGTCAGAGTCATTGTGAATGACTATAACCTAGTGTATTATTGATTGGTAAACGGCATCTTAATTGGTTTAGTTAAACATTAATTATATTAGTGCTGTCCAAGCTAATGAGGGACTGACAGTCCTAAAGACATATTTTAAAACTGTTATTTCAATGAGCAATGCCTTCCTGCTAGAGGAACTACAACAATGTATACAATATCCAAGTAAGGAAGACAGTTAACTTTAGCTAGATCTAATCCAGCCCTAACTCTTGAACTTAATCTACCAGGAAGTGGCCTTTAGATCACAGCTATCTGAGGAGTATTTCAACTCTTATCTGCATGAAAACTATGTTGAGTTTTTGTCCACTGTTGAAGACTTAGAGCGAGCATCAGAATACTTCAGTGACTCTGACTACATCTCCTCTATGTGGATGGTGAGTTTTTGAGCTTTGTTTTAGGGGAACCAAATTCAGAGTCCAGTTAGGTTATATTTCATGAATGCTTTTGTTATTAATTGTTTATATAATTATTTGATAAATGTTAGTTATAGGAGATTGTGATATGATACGTGATTCCACAGGCGAGGGAAGAACTCCAGAAATATTCCCTCTCAGTGGCAGCCCGAGGTTTCATTCACTCCTGCTCTGATGTCTCTCACCATGACAGTGTGAGGAAAAGTCAAGGCTGGCGACCTCTACACAAATCTCAGTGGTTTCAATCTAGCAAACGAGTAGGGCTTCTCTAGGAAACTAATTAAACGTCAATTTTTGTTACAGCTAGTAAATCATTTTGTTATGTATCCAGTTCTTTTAAAATAGAAAAATGTTTAATCTTTGGTTAATGCGTTTTTTTAGTAAAGATTTGTGCATAAAATTCCACATCTACCAAACTGTATACCATATTTACATTATTTATCTTTATTATTTAGGCAAATGAAAATATGACAACAGCAAGACAATTATTTAAAGGTGAGAATCCTGATATTTTCAATTCATCATCATCTCATCTTTTACCATAGTCTCCAAGTCTTGAGGCAGATGAAGTAGAATTTATCTGATTCAGTTACCTCGAGGTACAACGGGATAATGTGGTCAGCACTCTGCCCAGCAGCCTTTGTTCCCCTAACGCAAGTCAGGTACCCATCAGAGCTCGGTGAACTTAGGGACTTCCTACAGTCACAAGTCCAAACTCAAGACCTTCGGGCTAGCATCCAAACGCTCAACCATTTGACCACACTATCCCATTGATGTTTTCAATTATTTACGTACAATTTAAAAATAAAGTTAACCTTAATTAGAAAAGTGATATGTACAAGTTTTAGCGACCAGTTTTAGTGCCAAGTAAACTGGATCAGATGCACCATGTGTTGTTGTACACCAGGGGTCTCCAAACTACGGTCCGCTGGCCGGATGCGGCCCGTGATGTCCTCTCATCCGGCCCATGGCGATCTTTTTGTCCACGGAAAAAAACTATTGTTGGTGATGGCTGAGGAATTTTGCTCAGAAAAATCAAAGACATGTCTGGAAGAAACTAGCCCCCGAACAGAAATTTGATAGTTAATGCAGCCCTCGGACTGAAAAGTTTGGAGACCCCTGTTGTACACCATAGTGTAGAGAAATTAAAAAAAATTAAGTTTGCATCTTTCCATGTTTAAGGTTACCATTGGGAGCCTGAGGTGTTATATGCAGAGATTCTCCCTTACATCAATTTAACTAACCCAACATTGCATGATACAGGCAAGTTTACTATCATGACTAGATCATTCTTTACTGAAATCCCTTAAGCAATATTTATAAAGCTAATACTTAAGGATGATTAGACCATTAACTATGTTTATATGGATGTTGTTTTCTTTAGGCCAAATAAGTTTTGTCCAAGAGATGACCCAGTTCTCAAGTCAGAGGCATTTGCATGGGTGAGTAATTCACAAATTAATTATTACTATTTTACAATCAACCCCAATAATGATTTAGAACTTTTACTTCCAATTGTAATTCAGTTTGTTTTTTAAATCATAACATTATATTTGAGATAACTGTTTACATTAGTCTATTGATCGGTGTGGATGCATATCACTGTGATATTATACATTCATAATAAGCATACTGATGCTGACTTGTTGATGACATATTAACTATAAAATTAGATTTTTTTTTAAAAGTTCATAATTGTTAACAAATTTAACCATTAATTTAAAAATCATTTAATTCTGTTTTTGCTTAATATTTTAATTACAAACAATGGATGGAAAATCTGGATATGATTTTACAACTTCGAGTTGCACTGATTAACTTAATTAATTATGTAGCCTGCTAGGAACATAACCATGTATATTGTGTATTAATGGCTGCTTTGCTGGCAGCTAGAGTTTGTGTCATGGTCTTCAATTGTAAAGCCCAGGCTCTCTTTACAGTTTGTATCAACAGAATGAATTGAATCATTTCATAACTTTCTTTACAGTTTGTATCAACAGAATGGATTGAATCATTTCATAACTTTCTTTACAGTTTGTATCAACAGAATGGATTGAATCATTTCATAACTTTCTTTACAGTTTGTATCAACAGAATTGATTGAATCATTTCATAACTTTCTTTACAGTTTGTATCAACAGAATTGATTGAATCATTTCATAACTTTCTTTACAGTTTGTATCAACAGAATGGATTGAATCATTCCATAACTTCTTTCTTTAATAAGGTTTATTATAATTTTATTGATTTATTCTCAGGCGAAGAGCTGAGAGACTGGATGAGAAAGATGTTGTGATGAATGATGAGAGTCTAGCAGATGATGAAAGTGCCACATCACAGTTGATGTCAAACAAAGATGTGCTAGCACCTAGTCAAGATGTTGAGTCTAGCCATCAGGATGATGATGATGTACCCAACAGTCAAAGTAACATCCGTGGTTTGTGTGAGGATGATGACATTGTGATAGAAGACTTTGATGATGACTTCTAGATTGTTCTTTTTGTTATTATTGCAAAAAAAAAAAAGGACATAACTATCACCTAATTATTCCTCTGTTTTATTATGTGACAAATAAAATAGAAAGAAAGAAATACTCTTTTTACTTGTACAAAGTACAAAGCAATCAATAAATATCTTGACAATGTTGTTATTGCATGTTTACAGAAAAAAAATGAAATTAACTTGCCAGAACAAATGTTGGATTATATTTCTGAATGTAAATATGTTATTAAAGTTAGTGTGAATACAGTTGAATTCAGACTCATTTGTTTGTATAGACTTCCATTTTCTTTTTAATAATTGTTTTGTGTAATCTGTTGTTATTTAAGTTTAAAAATGTATTAAAAGCATCTCTATATTACAGTGTCTGGGCATTCTATTAATAATGTAGGCAAATAAGTGATATTTGAACCAAAAAATGTAGGTTGTTGGTAAATATTTTATACATTATAAATCAATTTCTAAATCACAACTGATAAGTGTTAGCACAAATCTAACAAAGGTCATGCATCAAACATCTCTGTAAACAATTAGTTTCCATGGCTTAAAATGAACAATTGGCTAAGCTAAAAAAGTAAACAATTTATGATGGTTGGCTAAAAGAGCTAACAATATGTTTGGTGTTGCATGCTTAAAGGCCATCCTGGATTTCAATACACAATTTAACATTGATAAAATGATATTAAGCTCTTTCAATTTTAGCTGGCACATGCTGAGTCTGCCTTTCATAACTGGCTGTTCCAACACTTCTTGTCAGCAGTGAAGTCTTGCCTGGACAGCCGAAAATGCTGTCATACAGCCTTGACCTCATGGGCCATTTCTGTAACATCAAGCATTGCAAGTCAGGTAATAAACCACAGCAGGAAAACTTTAAAAATAGCAATTCATATTTCAAGCTGAATATTACTCTTCTATTAACTACACATCCTCCCTCCCCCACTACCATTTGAATCACAACAGTTCTATTTTCATAACTGGACGTTTTGAAACAAATATTTGCTCTTTCTTAGTGTTTTTCATGCTTAAAGCCGTGCCATCCATTCCAATAGATTATCATCAGATAAAAAAAAAACAAATCAGGAAAATATATAGTTAGGAACACAGGATTAACACCATCGATCAAATTTTTAAAAGCCTAATTAAAGTATACTTCAAAACAGTCACTTTGTTTATATGTTTCTGAACAACTACCATATGAAAATAGTCCTCCGTCTTATTACATCTTGTTAAATCACATAAGGAAATTACCTAGGGGTCATCCATAAATGACGTCATGCTTTTTTGACGATTTTTACCTCCCCCTACCTCCGTCACCCATCATCGCAAAAAGCCACCCCTTTCTAAAATGACGGCACACCTCAGCCTACAACCCCCCTCAAAATTGCAATTGAAATTTTCTTAAAACATATTTTTCCAAAATCTTGTTTGAATTGTCAACATAGCGTATTTTAATCAACTCCTATTGCAATTTATTAAAACAGTTTTCTATAACGTGAAATAACGTCTAAAATTCGTTTTCTAACATTGCTTTTTTATTATGCAAAAGTGTGACGTCATACCATCTGAACACCCCCCCCCTCCTTCCCCTCACCACACACCGTCAACAAATTAAGGACCCCCCTCCTCCCTACGAGTTTGACGTCATTTATGGACGACCCCCTAAACCAGGGGTCGGCAACCTGCGGCTCGCGAGCCGCATGCGGCTCTTTTGATGTCAAGATGCGGCTCTTCAGCTCCATGCACAAATATTAATAATTATTTTAATTTGTTTTTAAAACTCTTAAAAATATTAGTCTGCAATAGGCCTACTCGGTAATTAAAGATATAGATCTAATAACCATGTAAAGTTTCTAATTTCGAGCAGAGCTTGCTAAACTACTTCAATATGTTTTGTGCGAAACATGTGTATGTTTATATATATATATATATATATATATATATATATATATATATATATATATATATATATATATATATATATATATATATATATATATATATATATATATACCTAATCAAATATCATAATATTGAAATAAAACTGTTTGTGGCTCTTTAATAACTGTGAAAAGTGGTAAATTTAAACTTTTGGCTCTTCCGTCGCAAAAGGTTGCCGACCCCTGCAAACCAGATGCCATAGAACGTGTTTTTAAATCAGGAAATTACCTTGACCGGATGTAATATCCCACGGTTGGACTGCATGATCCTAGTGTTGGTAACGACTGGACGCCTCACGTCTGGCCCCCAAATATTAGAAACCTGTGGGTGGTACGTGTCTTCCTGGCATCGCCTGCTCCAAGGTTCACCCCACAAATATTTGCTCTCGACATCCCTGCAGGCGACACACGAGTTGGTCAGTCTTTTTTTGGCTTGAACTTTAACCTTCACCTTGCAATCCCTTGATGGTGTCGACACACTTGTGTTAAAACTAGAGGACTCTGCCACGTCACTGGTCTTGTAGAAGCCTTGACCGCCATCGTCTGCTGGGGACGGGTTGGTTTCCGGGAACCTGGGGTCATCTCGACACTGCAGTGTTTGTGTCAGACGGTAGATGTAGGCTGTGGCCAGGACCAGGATGTCAAGCTTGGACAGCTTTGTGTTGGGTGGGACAGCCTGGTCAAGTGGAGACATTCACACAGTACAAGACATGGACAGCTTTGTGTTGGGTGGGACAGCCTGGTCAAGTGGAGACATTCACACAGTACAGCTTTGTGTTGGGTGGGACAGCCTGGTCAAGTGGAGACATTCACACAGTACAGCTTTGTGTTGGGTGGGACAGCCTGGTCAAGTGGAGACATTCACACAGTACAGCTTTGTGTTGGGTGGGACAGCCTGGTCAAGTGGAGACATTCACACAGTACAGCTTTGTGTTGGGTGGGACAGCCTGGTCAAGTGGAGACATTCACACAGTACAGCTTTGTGTTGGGTGGGACAGCCTGGTCAAGTGGAGACATTCACACAGTACAGCTTTGTGTTGGGTGGGACAGCCTGGTCAAGTGGAGACATTCACACAGTACAAGACATGGACAGCTTTGTGTTTGGTGGGACAGCCTGGTCAAGTGGAGACATTCACACAGTACAGCTTTGTGTTGGGTGGGACAGCCTGGTCAAGTGGAGACATTCACACAGTACAGCTTTGTGTTGGTCGGGACAGCCTGGTCAAGTGGAGAAATTTACACAGTACAGCTTTGTGTTGGGTGGGACAGCCTGGTCAAGTGGAGACATTCACACAGTACAAGTTATAGGGTGGTAGTCAAGGGGCGCTTCACATAACATCTATTTGATTGTTTATTATTTCATCCCACGAAGACAGAAACGATGTATACATTGACAGTAAGTGGGTAAAACATACTATGAAATTTAGTTTAGAAATGTATCAAAAAATTACCTCCTTAACAATATAATACGCGTGTTACACGTTTTTACAACTAAACTAATCTTGCATATTGATAGTATTGTGTCGCTATAGAAGGAGAAACTTGTTCCAAATTTTTAGGCAAGAATCTCGAGGGACAGATACAAATACCAGTTTCCATTTGTAACAGCTCACCACTGATATGCATTCAAAACTACAAACTCAAGTAACACAGAAATGGATGAGCATTCGCGTAATGACAAGCTTCACAATACATATATATATATATATATATATATATATATATATATATATATATATATATATATATATATATATATAAATATAAATAAATTTAAAAACAATATATATATATATATATATATATATATATATATATGTATATATATATATATATATATATATATATATATATATATATATATATATATATATATATATATATATATATGTATATATATTAGTAGCTTGCTTCACTAAATTTCAAACTGGGTAATTTAATCTGAGACAACAAACCAGACAAAAATATGTCCAAATAATTTCAAATAATTTAACCTGGGTTTGTAAAAAAGAATAGACTAACCGGCAATGATCGTTGTAATTCCAAAAAAGCTGTTCTCAGCGTCTTAACCCGTGACCTTTCCCTGGCAGCGTTGTTTTGTGGTGTCTTTAGCCTACGATTCGGACAAATATCTGGCAATTTGCTCATGTCTAGTTCCTGTAAATCCAATACAAACACTATTGTAAAAAGCTATAAACCAACTCAGCAGTACAAGTTATTTAAATGAATACAATTTAGCTCATATTTTAATGCATCAAAATAAGATGTTTCGAAAAATAAAATCTGAAGTTTATAAAAATCTATATTGTAAAAGTTTAATCATCCAAAGATACTTAATAATAACTGGGAAAGAAGAATTATTTGGACGTTTTATTAATGGTAGAAGTTGCATGCTGATTGCGGTAACTATAAGGGTTTACTTCGGCCGTCTAATAATGGCCTAATTAACATAAACACAATTTATTTGCTGCGATTTTAAAAATCTAAAATGGAAAACAGACGCTTCTACATTGTGAGTAAGAGCAGATTACCCAGTAAAGTTAGACGAGTAGTCTATTATGTTGAGTAATGAATATTAGCAGATTGCCCAGTAAAGTTAGACTACTCAACATAATAAATATTAGCAGATTGCCCAGTAAAATTAGACTACTCAACATAATCAATATTAGCAGATTACCCAGTAAAGCTAGACTACTTTACATGTTGAGTATTAGCATATCACCCAACAATGTTGGACTAATCTACAAGTTCATTTCACAATTGTAGCAAGCGTCATCAAGTTAACGTTGGCTGGTTGGGTCAACATTAACGCAACCTTCTGCATTATGCGACTAAATTGTTATATTTTCTGGACCTACTTCAGTTTAAAATATCTACACTCTCACCACACAGCATGCCACATAAAAAGTGAAATGTTCAAATTCTAAATCCATACATTCGTTAAATACGTTTTAAAAACAACTGCAGATTATCCTTTAAGTCCTAATGGAAGAGCAGTCTTGCTATGATATGTTAAATAAAGGGCGAACAACTTACAGCTTGAGGTACTCAAGCTAACCGTCTGCCGCGGCACCCCGTCACTCAACCACACGAGTAGTTTTTGGGGAAAGTACGCCCCACCCCTTTACCACTTTTCCCCTTTCGTTCAAATGATCGAATGTTAAGTTGGAAACATGACTACTCTTACTTTCTTTTTGTTTTGTTTTGTGCGATATTTATCCAAGGCGAAGGCTACCTATTTTTGTCAAGGTGCTTCATCAATAATCCAGTTGATAAAAAAACAAAACATTTGCTTTATATTTTTGGTAATTAAAGAACATAATAAGCATATATATATAAATTTATATATATATTCGTATATATGTATAGATATGCGTATATATATGTATATATAGATATGCGTATATATATGTATATATAGATATGCGTATATATATATATATATATATATATATGCGTATATATATATATATATATGTATATATATATATATATATATATATATATATATATATATATATATATATATATATATATATATATATATATATGTATACATATGCGTGTGTAAATATATAACATGACTTTATTATTATAGTCCGATATATTTACATACATACATACATACATACATACACACATATACACACACACATATATATATATATATATATATATATATATATATATATATATATATATATATATATATATATATATATATTAATAAGCCCCCTCCCCCCCCCCACCTCACCCTTAAGGACACACCCATACGATGTCTCGTGTTGAACCTGTAACGTGAGGGTCAAGCGTCAGAGAACTAAACGTGTGAGACATCTTCTCCCTGACATTTCCAGAGTCCAAAGTTCCGCGGTTCCCCCACATCTCGCCACACCAGCCAGGTAGGCCAAGCCGGCAACCCCAAGTGGAAGCAGACGCGATGGTGGCGGGAGCAGTTGAGCCTGTGGAGGAGACCGATACACACTTGAGCTGGCGGCTACACCAGACGTGAGTGGCGTCTCGAGGGCTGGACAAGAGGGGCTGTTACTGCCAGCTTGAGACCACCGGTTGCAGGGGCGGGCTCATCTTGAAGGATACTCTTGAATTGTCCGATGGTGATTAGACGTGTCGACCATGTGGTGTTAGAAAATATGTGTTTATCATAAACCTATTAAATATAAAACAAAAACAGTTTAACACTTTGAGACCATACCGATTGAACGCTCATCGAAAAATATTTTTTTCACATACTTGGTAAAATGGCGCGTAAAATCATACATTTAGTTAATATCTGTAACAATTTTGACTTACGCAGTCCATCTTTATTATAAAAGGGAAGTTATCCAAAGTAAGTCAGGTGTAAATGTAAGTAGCTGGGTTATTTCTTCTATTTCTTCGTTCTTCGTTGTAATGTTGGGCGGGATTTCCCATACACAGTTAAGTATCGCATGTCCACACATTATACGCTATAAAACACATTAATTCCAGTTTCAGCCTGCTTTTTACAGGCTTTTATTTAAATTGCTTCCTCGTGCTTTTGTCGTGTTTCGTCATCGATCGAAACTTACGAGTGAAATTTCGACCACTACTAACCGACCGATTTCTCTTAAACTTGGCACGTAGGTCAAAACCCGATGACAATGCAAATAACATCATTTTTTGTGCTTTCTAGGTACTAGTTTCTCCGAAATAAAATTATTATATTATTATATTATTGAATTAGAAAAAGAAAAGCGTGAGTCGCTTCTTGAAAACCAGTCAAGGTATTCAATAGCGACCAATTCTTTTTATTTTTATTTATTTAAATAATAGTTCATTATCATGTATTTAAAGAAAATCATTTATATCTCCTTTTAAGTGCACTACTTCACAAAAGGTTGTTATCAAAACGTTTTTATGCATCACAATATATTGCTTCCATAGCCTTTGTCCATTTCTGTTTGTGCAGTTTTCCGATTGCAGATTTTTCTTTTTTGATGAACAAATGGCAACACACAAAAATATTTGAAAAAAGAAATTAATTTGCACATTTTATTTATTAGTCACCAAGTATAATATAATGTTCAATCTTTAAATAAAATAAAAACAAATGAAAATTTAATTCAAAGACAACAAATTTTTGAGGCTGTAATTAAAAAATGGTTTTCAAGAGTTAAATATTTAAAAACTAAATTGCTTATTTTTAGAAGTGGATTTGAAAGGTACATTTCCTTATTATTATCAGAGCAACTACTAAATCAATAACCTCTTTGGTAAATGATTTCCTGATTTCTATGTGGTAAGGATTTCGCTGACATGAACATTTCCACCATAACCAAAGTAATTGAGCTGCTCGATTTTGTGCTTGTAAGTGTACTTGTGTACACCTCTGTGGTCGATCTGAATATAAGAAATTGCGTAAAGTGTGACAAAAATAATTCCCTTTAAATAATAACAACGAAAAAATATTTAAACCTGAAAGGTAACGATAACACGCGAAATATAGGCCAGTATTTGAAATTTTATACTTATTTGAGAAATATATTTTACAAAATAGGTATTGGTCAAAACGCTTTATGCTTTTCTGCATGTTAAACGATATTAGTGTCAAAGCAAAGTAATAACTAAATAGGTAGAAATGCGACATACTTTATATTACATAGGCTACCAATACCTATTAGAAAAACTAAAACAAAATTATATATACATTATTAGTCTCAGCACCATATAAAGTGATTAAGTGACTAAAATGATTCCTTTAAAAACAGGCTATTTAGCGGTATTTTAGCGTACGTTTTATTAGTAGATCTATAGATCCAAATCTTATTTCAATAAAATAAATCATTTCTTTAAATTCTAAAATTTGAAGATGAGGAAAGCGAATCTTATTAAAGATGACGTCATTAGTATTGTGTATCGTTTTCGACATTCGATTTTTAATTCTATTTTTAATCCTATAATCAATGAAACGCGATTAGTGTTGTGTACTTTTTATTAACATTGTTTCATTTTGATGTAGGCCTATTTCTTACTTTGCCAATGATTGTTTTGTGCTATTAATATGTTCTCTAGAGCGTTCCTGCCACAACTATAAACACTTCTCCGGTTGCTTAATTAAATATGAGTTTCTACATTAGAATATGCCTTTATTTTTATTTTCCTTATTTCAATACAATTTAGTTTATACATTTAATGCATCCAACATTATTTTCAACATAAGTCAGTATCTTTAAATCCGCCTTACATTGCTGAAGATATTGATCTCATAGCCTCTGAAAATATGTGACGGATAGAGAAAGAGAGAGAGAGAGAGAGAGAATGAGAGAGAGGGAGACAGAGAGACAAATAGAGAGAGAGAGAGAGAGAAAGAGAAATACGCACATATGCTTATATATATATATTAGATACTGACCTCAATTTGCCCTGGCAGTAATGTAATCACCAGCTGAAATGGAATGTCGGCTTCAAATTTGTGATTAGGGTACACTTCTTCTTTGTCCCATTCATTATTAGTCTTGTGGTTTATGACAACAGCATTCCCATGCGCGTAACCAGTAAATCGGACATCGAAATCAAGGGTTACATCACGCAAGCTGTCAACAGTTGAGTTTTGTGGGTTCAAGCCAGAACCATAGGCCAGGAAAATTGTGAACCTGTTTTCAGAATAATCAAATTCGATTTTTAAGAAACAATAATTATGAATGTCTTTGCATTTAAAAAAAAAGATACCTTTTGCATCGTACTTATGCGTCTGGTTTGAAATAATTTTCCCTAGTTAAAGTATAATTAATTAAAAAATACAAAACTAAAAAACAGTTTCAGTATTCGGGAATGAAAAAAAAAATCAGCTACACAGAATTGTGAAGATACTTGTATTAAACTAAAAATATTCTCTTGTTAAAGTATTTGTATTAAAGTTTACAAAACTAAAAAAAAAATTTCAGCATCGGAGAAAAAAAAACAAACAACAATACAGAATTGTGAAGATATTTATATAGAACTAAAATTATTTGTGCACATACTTTAATAAAAATATATGTCCTTTTTTGAATCACCACTCTTCCTTAAATAACGTAGGATTATAATTTATAGAACCCCATCCAATTCATTAGAACAATTCCAAAACCTTCTCTCAATGAACAGAACACACAGAACAATGAACAAAATATCTGTTTAAAGCATTCGCATTAATTAATTTTTGTTAGTTTAAATCCTCACCCAATCTTTGAAAAACAATTTTTATAGACTTTAGAGCCTATGCAAGTCACGGGGAAAATGAAATGTTGAAAAGAAAGCATATAGCGTACATTTTAAATGAAATCGAATGTATATATATTATAATCAATTAGCGTTGCTGCCTCTATCTTTCTCTTTGCTCAAGTTAACTTCTGGTTTCTGTAAAAAAAAACGTCCGGTTTCTATTATAACTCCAGTCAAAGCTCATGTTCCGTTCTGGTAAAAGGTTAAGGTTAGAGTTGAGAATAAGGTTGATGTTTCAGCTAATGTATAGGTTTAGGTTTGTCAGCATAGTGCTCATTTTAGTTTTCCCTCAACGGGCTAATTATTTCATCTTTTTTAATAATTACCATCACATTAAATTAAGAGAACATTATTTATAAATTTCCTAAAGGAATTTATAAATTTGTCCTAAAAAATTGTAATATTGCCTATATGAAAGCGAATTCTGAGGAAAAAAACGTATTTACCTTTCTGTGTTTTTGGTTGGGAATCCATTGACGATGATCTGTTCTTCAGCAGATTCCAACTCAAGTTGAACCACATTTGGCTATTAAATAAGAAGTTACTGTTTCGTTTTTGCTCATTATAATATTTTCAAATTCACGTTTAACCGTAAAATTCACATTATTTAATTTTTACATGTATGCATTACAAATTAATTTTTTTTCAGCATTTATAACGCACTACAAATATATATATATATATATATATATATATATATATATATATATATATATATATATATATATATATATATATATATATATATAATCAGAGTTCAATTCCTCTTTTAGTAAAAAAAAGGTTTTGTTCAGCTTACCGGGGAGCGATACTAAAATTGTTGAAAGCAATAAAAATTATGTTAGTTCATATTTATTAACATTCAGACGACATTACAATAAGATATGAGAAAGTTTATTATATTAACAATTGCACTACGTTTATGGTATAAAAATTGTACTATATAATATTTAATCTTGTTTTAAAATATAGTATACATTTGATTGAAAAAAATATTTCCTTGGTATAATTTCTTTAGGCGTATAACAGGTTAAATTAGCTGTAAAGATGTATGCAGTTATCATGTTTTTTTAACAATATTTTTGGAACAGCCGTAATTTTTCAATTGTTCAGTGACGCTATATTGTTAAAGAATTTTTATATTAATGTTTCTATAACTAAAACATATATATTTAACAGATAGCAATGTTTCTCTAATAACTCCACTCTCACGCAAACATAAAGCATATATACACTTATAGACAAACACAACGAACCGAGTGGAAAATCCTGCTGATGTCAACATTACCATCAACATGTATGTAGTGGATTAGATCCTTGGACATCTGGAGCTTAAAATCTCTAAAAAACACTTCGTTGACGGACAGCTAAAAATAAATTTGAACCCAGGAATTTAAAAGTTTTAAATAGTAATTAATACACAACTATTAATATTTTTTAGCAAATAAAAAATGTACTTACTTCGAAAAAATCATGCAATAGAGCTATCTTGAACTCAAATTTTTCCCCTTTGGTAAATGGAATATTTTCAACTGTATATTTATCATCTGGCCAATGTCCGTCCTTTTTGTAGGTTAACTCCAGCCACTTTTGGTTAAAGTCAACTTGAACTTGTAGAGGTATATCTATACTCCGTGAATATTCCTCTTTGTCAGCGAGGCTCAGCAAAAAGCTGCAAAATAAAAAAAAAAAAAAAATAAACACATTTTCTCAAGCATGAGTAAGAAACATTTACAAACTTTGTTTATAGTGTAATAGCAAAATGAAGCGGGAGCATACGAGGCCACAGATTCTGTAAAGAATTATTAATAAGTTGAGGCACTTAATATTGCGTGCTTGACACTCTCGAATCTTAAATCTGTGTTGGAATTTTAGAAACCTTCTTAGATTTCACATTATATAATAATTATAATAATTAATTTTATATTATAAAAAATGCGAATATTATTATTGAATACGTTTTGTTTTCAAAAGAATTTTGTTTTATAAAGCTGCAGAATCAACTTATCTACATTTTGTATTTTGAATAAAAATGTCTGACATGAAGTAACGACATCTGATTTTAACACAGTATATATTACATTTTGTTTCTTACGGCGCTGTTTTCATGATTTAAATCAAATTTTTATCCGTGAAACCTGAATTTTTAAAAATAAATTTAAAATATTTTTTTTTGTAATTTAAAAATTAAAACATTTATTGAAATAGTGTAAAAAAGTCAAAGGAAGAGTCGAATTTTCTATGGTTGAAAAGACACAATTTTAAGAACTCTGGGCTTAACCCATCAACGCCTATCACGTTTAGCTGTTTATTACTTTGAAGTTTTTTCTTATAAGTTGACCCCATTACATGTCCGAAATACACTCAGTATTTTCTAAGGAAAAGTGAGAAGGAATCGATAACAGCTGATGTTAACACGTAGGAGTATGACAGTCAGTGTTTCTTCCAGACTTTTTTCTCCGGGGGGGGGGGGGGGGGGGGGGGCACTTGATATTTTCGGGCGGGGGGGGGGGGGGCGGTCAACATTTTTCCGGGTTTGGGGAGGGGGCGGACACTAGTAAAAGTATATATTTTCTATATAAATTCAATTTCGTTGGGGGGGGGGGGGGGGGCGGGCGGGGCGGTAGACTTTCTTCGGGGGTTTCATTTGGGTTATTTTTATAGGTGACTTTTCTTTGATAATTTAAACAAGCATGTAATTACAACTAGCTTTTGTCTGTTATTACTAGAGGTCGTTAGTAAAATAGATTTATTCTCCTTTTAAGAAAGAAAATTTTGGGGCCTTCTTAAAATTTGGGCTCCGGATTGCTGCCCTGTTATTTAAAGTACTATATGCCCTGTCATGTAAAGTACTATATGCCCTGTCATGTAAAGTACTATATACTGCCGGGCTGTTGTTGATTTTACATACCGTTCCAAAAAGCTTTTTTTCACCACCTCTTTTAAGTAAAAGGCGAAAAGAAATTGAAATAAAAACAATAATTCTTGAAATCGCTGAACACAAATGATTATATAAACCAGTCCTCGTTGCTACTGAGTAACTTTATCAGTTTTTAGATATTAAATATTTTGCTTACCTTTGGGAAGTCTGAGGAACGAAGCCTTCAACAATAATGGTCTTCTGGTCATCTATCGGGTACTTAATTTTCTCAGAGTATGATAGCATCAACTGGAAAAATAAATAAAAATTTATGTTAGAGGAAACATGATTGTATGGGGCATTTTTATGTTTACATTTGTTTACGTCCATATTTATGTTCATGCTTTTTAGTTCAAGATCAAGCACGTGTTTCTAATTATACAAAGTGGTTGGCTTCATTTGGCGTCACCGGATGCATGAACTGAAACTGCCATCCAGTCTCTAGGGAAATGTTATATATATATATATATATATATATATATATATATATATATATATATATATATATATATATATATATATATATATATATATATATAAAGCAATTTATGTCTGTGTGTCTGTCTTTAATGCATTACTACACCTCTCATCACATCGCCATGAAACTTTCGGAAGCTGTTGAGAATATTCCTTGGGAGGAATATTTCGAATTTGCAGGGGTGGCTCCTCGGCAGGGCGCGATTTTTTTTCTATGTACGGTATATAAAAATCAAAGTCGATTTTAGTTTGACACCGTTAATCCGATAGCCATGAGAATTTTATTTTTAATTTTGCATTGCTTCCCCCTGATAGGATGCGATTTGGCGCCCTGGTCTTTCCCGTGAGCGCTATGGCGACTAAGTTCGGTCTAAACAGTGTGATATACAATGGATAGGATAGGGCGTTACAAACACTCACTAAATTGAATCAGGCGTGTCCTCCGGCGCCCTGGTAGGGTGCGATTTTGCGGCAAAAAAAAAATTACTGTTTCTGTCACATGGGTCGCTGAGGGCCATGTAATACGTTTTATTTTAATAATCAGAAAAATTAATCAAGGTTAGATTATTAACTGGGATGTTTCTTTTTGTCTGTAAAAAAATCCAAGCAGTTTCGTCACTTTGCGAATGATGCAATTAGCATCTATTTTTAGACAATCCAATCAGAAATTGAGATCGAGCATCTAATAATAGACCATTAGTAATGCTAACATATTGCATCAGTCACACTGGTCTGTAAAACACGGCAAATAATTTTTACTTTCTCGTATATACGAAGTATAGAGAAAGTGTTGTAATCGTGCACAAAAATAACATAAAATTTTGACAGTTTTCACCGTTTTACTCCTCAGTCCTTCATCGCATCCGGAGTATAGAGGACTTATTTTAATCAGGCAAAAATTATAAATACAAATATATAAACATTTTGGCGTTTTATGCGTTATCGAGTCGTAAAAACTGGACTTTGCAATTCTGACCGTTGTCTGTGTGTGTGTGTGTGTGTGTGTGTCTGTGTGTAAACACGATAACTTGAGTACCGGTAGAGCTAGTTTGATGAAATTTCATATATAAGTATTTTATCAAAATCGTAGATCCTGATCAGCTTTTGAGCGATTTCCAATAACCGGAAGTGGTACTTTTTCTACTTTGAATTTTTTAAAAGCCTATAACTTGAGTACTATTTCAAACAGATAAATGAAATTTCACATGTAAGTCAAAGATCTAATTTTCTACCTTCTGTCAAATTTTGAGTAATTTCAGTTGATTGAAATCACTAATTTACGCTATTTCCGATTTCTCAAAAAACTAATGTAAATTTATAAAGGACTAATAATATTCCGCACTATTATGCACGTTTTATTTGGCGTTCGCTTGGTGTGCAATTCTTTTTTCTACGAGATTTTATTCTATTTTAAAAACTTTAAGTATTTAAAATGGATTAAAAATCATGTCTATATCCCGAGTTCCCATCCCCTTTTTTTTTAATAAAAGAATATTCGAGAAAGTTTAGGGGAGATCGCTCCCGGTTTATTGTACGTGTTAAAGAAAAAATCCTTTTCATTTGTGTAAATTTAGCGAATGACGAAATCTGCATCAGGATGCTATTTGGCACTCTGTTAGTTTTAAGGAGCCAAGGGCCGTATGCTGCGCCTATGCGGTAGTGAAATCGGGGGGGGGGGGGGGCTCCTGAGAGCGCACTTCTACCTCCCTGACACAATGGTGGTCATCGAAGTGTGTTCTAACTCATTATTTCGGTGAGTGATTAATGAACACTCAAGGATTTTTTGCGGTAGTGTGGGTAAACCTGTGTCACGATATTTATGATCCAAGCGCATGCATTGTTTACATTTAAATAACTCACTTTTAGAAAACAAGGTCACGCGTCTAAGAATATAAGGTTGGTAACGCATGGATGAAACCCTTCTTATATATTTCGTCACCATGGTCTGGGAGTAATTTAATCTACTTATAGTGCAATTCTGTATAAGCCCAGAGTGTTTAGCTACTTACCTTAATTTAGACAAGTAAAATAGTTTACCAGCAGACATATAATTATAGAGTTTCGTGGAGTTCTAAAATTTCATAAACTAACATACATATATCGGCTACATAATCATTGATTCTTCTTCTACTGCCATTAATAGTCAGCTAGCTAGTTTTTGTAACAGAAAACACTCTAGAAATATTTTTTTTTTCAAAATTTGGAATGATGTAATTTCATCGAAATTAATGCTAAATTTAATATTTTTTTACCATAACAAAATTTTGAAATTTTGAAAAAAAAATTTCTAGCGATTTTTCTGTTACAAAAACTAGCCAGCTAACTCTATTAAGAGGGTACTCAAATATCTTAGGGAATCAGATTAGTGAATCAAATGTTTATCACACTGACCACGTATGAAAGTCAACTGAGTCTTAAATGTAAACAAGTTGGGTAAATATTACACCAGTACCCTTGACCCGCCTCAGGGAGGTACGATTTAGCCGACTTGGACAACACCCACGTTTTTCCCACGTTTTCTTTAACTTGCTTTCTCTGTTTGTCTTTCCAATCAAATCTTGCGATCAAAATTTCTGGCACTTCCCAGTTAGCTAGCGCGCTGAAATTTTCAGGGAAGCTTTCTTTTGGATGACCATAGAATATTCAATTGTTATTATTACTAAATTGATCAATGAAAACATTTTATTGAGCATTTTAGACCGCTATATAATCTATATATATATATAATTCTCCTCTGCGAGCCATTAGAAAAAAAACGAGCGACGCGTAGCTCGCGCGCAGTGAAGCGAACGATCTCACGTCGCGACAGGCTTAGGGGCAGATAATTTAGTTTGAACCGACTTTAAACTTACAGGAGGTAACTATTACCACTGGTGGCCAGTTTGGGGGAGACGATATGGTCGAGTGGTTGGGCACACGATTGCTATCCCACTCGACACGGGTTCAAATCTATGTGTTCTAGTCAGTAACCAGCCCTCGTCCTAACCGCTATCAACTAACCTCTGACAATCATTCACTTGCGATTGAGACCGAAGAAGAAAGGGTCTCTCGTTTTTTACGAGTTGTCTTTTTACGAGTTGTCTTCGTTTACCCAAAAAAAAGTGAAAAGATAAAATCGATAGCAAGATTTCAATGCAAACAAACAGACAAAGACTAAAAAGTAGAAAATAATAATCATTAAAAAAGTTTTTAAAAACCCACGTTTTCTGATTGAACTAAAAAGTAGAAAATAAATACTATACATCACAATAATGCAAGCGATCACTCTACTATAAGCGATGAAAAACGTGGGGCGCCGTGATTTTCTTACAGTTTCTAATACTGTTGACTTTCTACAAGCTCCCTAATAAAAGTCAATAGTATTATCTAATCAATAGTAATATAACTTTTACTTCGGCGCCCCACGTTTTTCATCGCTTATAGTAGAGTGATCGCTTGCATTATTGTGATGTATAGTATTTATTTTCTACTTTTTAGTTCAATCAGAAAACGTGGGTTTTTAAAAACTTTTTTAATGATTATTTTTGCTTAAGTGATTAACCGGCAAAGAAAATCAAAACAATAAGTTTGTCGGTACCCTAGAAAAAAAAAAGGTGACCAGAAAGAAGCCCAAAAAAGCATACGCATAAAATAGCGCAAACAGAAAAAATGCGCACACAGAAAAATGAAAATTCATTGACATTTTTTACATCTCTTGCGACAGCCTTAATTAGTGCTGTCACAGACTGTATTGTTGGGTATGTTTATTATATTGTGTTTTACATGAAGTTGCATGAATGTAGAGTACCTGGCCAACGGAAGGACTGTCTGAGCGACTCGTCATGTATTTTTCCATGCTTTAGTGAGATCGCTCATTGACGTTAGGGGAGAGAATGTAATGTATAAAAGGTGGAGCGCAAGGTAAACAAAGTGTGTGTGATGATGTAATGTGTATGAAAGGTGAATACGTGGAACGGGTCACTGCGTGTGTGTATGTATCATGTAGTGAGACGCGAGGCCGGGTGTGTTGACGTGTATGTTGTTGTACGGAGTGAACGAGGGTACAAGGGAAGCGACTGGTCGGGTGACAGTGGCGTGTAGGGATGAATGCGGAGGACAGTTGAAGGTTGAGTGGGGAAGCAAGGAGGTTGATGTTGGGACTGGAGGACGGGAGATAGAGAAATAAAGAATACTGTAATAGCCTCAATCGTGTTGTGCTTTCTTTGAGATTCAGACGCCCTCACAGTGTGCTTGTCTGTGACTTTGTAGTAAGATGTAAAATGTCACCACGTCAGTTTGTTCTAGACTATAATGTAATAGTCATTCTTCTACTATGGAATATTATTATTATTTCTTATGGATCCATGTAAATAAAGTTTGAAGTTACAAAGCACTGTTGCTCGTATTCTTGGATGAACGAACCCACAATAACAACAGTATCATCCTATCAACAATATTACTGTTGTTACAAGTGCGTTGGGCTTGTATGAAAACTCAATTCAAACTAACTCAATTACATGCTATTTATTTTAACATGACAAGGTTAGCGTCACCCAACCAAAGCATGTACTGAACAGCATAATGGGCAGCATGTAGCCTATAAAACAGAAGAGCTATGGTTGTTGATATCATCTTGCATTCGTCCGCCGGTAAACATTTTCAGAAAAAGACCCTCAAAAACCTTCCATAACCTTTTTATAAGGAAACAAAGAGATGAAGTTTTAGTATAACATCAGGCTTTGACTCAGACCTACTCCTATGGCGCCTAAATTATTAATCTAATTAACTATTTAATATAGGGCTCAATTGGATCAATGAACCAACCTTGCGCCAAACCAGTTTGAAAGTTCGAGTTTTGTAACACGGTTATCAAGCTAGCAAAATGGAAATGTGCAACATCTATGTCATCTACACAAACACCCACCAACCTTAACTAACTATCCACCCACACATCTACCCACGCACCCACCGAACAAACTACCTACCCACCAAATCACCCACTTACCCGCCTACCAACCCGTATATATATATATATATATATATATATATATATATATATATATATATATATATATATATATATATATATATATATATATATTTAAGCTGAACAGACAATGATGAAGTAAGATGAATAGATTTTTTATCTATACATGTAAAATGACTTACATCGACGTTGCAGTTTACAGACATCAGGTTCAACAAGAAACCCATCAACGTGAGTTCTAACGCCAACATGTTGCTGCTCGTCACAAGCTCTGAAATGATAACTGTGACACCTCAACAATCATATATGGCAACAGTAACATCTTTACTAATATGTTATAGCAACAATAACAGCTTAAGAAATATGTGATACAAACAGTAAGTGATTAACAATAACTCGTCCATACGTATGTAGAAAATGCGCTAGAGATAAGGAGAGAAACAATAACACCACAGCGATTATACAGAGAAACAATAACAACATGTTGTAATGAGTTTTCTTTTATTTTGTTTATACACGTGGATAATGGTAGCAACACAAACCAGTTTCTCTCTTCTCTTCTCACACAGCAATGTTAGTAATGTCACTCTTTAGCTATAGCCTAAAATAAAATGGATGATCATCTGCACTTAATTGAATCTCAACTAAAGCCATAAACAATCACTTAATCGTTTTAGCTATAGCCTAAAATAAAATGGATGATCATCTGCACTTAATTGAATCTTAACTAAAGCCATAATCAATCACTTAATCGTTTTAGCTATAGCCCATAATAAAATGGATGGTCATCTGCACTTAATTGAATCTTAACAAAACCCATAATCAATCACTCAATCGTTTTAGCTATAGCCCAAAATAAAATGGAAGATAATCTGCACTTAATTGAATCTTAGCTAAACCCATAATCAATCACTTAATCGTCACTTCACCCCTAAGCTGGTTGGGGCACCACAAATAATTTTCTCATAATTTTCTACAATTTTTCTCTGTCTTCTGCTGCTCTAATTAACTTCCGACCTGCAGCCGAGTCCACCTCTTGCCGTCTATCACCCGATGTAGTCTTTGCCGTCCTTCTCCATTCTGGCAGCGTAATGTTTTTGACAAGCCATTGGTTCGTGTATCATGCTCATACCAGCTCAGTTTCTTTGCTTTACTATATTTATCAGGTTCTTAAAAGGACCAATCGATTTTTATCAGGTTCTTAAAAGGACCAATCGATTTTGCTATCCTTTACGGACTTCTTCATTTGATATGTGATCTCTGTATAAGATACTAATGAATAGGCCGTGCGGCGTCAAAACGGCCAATGACAAAACTTCAATACGACCCCGTCAATACGATCCTGTCAATTCGACCCCGTCAAATAGGCTGCCGACATATAGGCTCCCGTCATTTAGTTTTTCGACAACACGGCCCCCGTCATTACGACTCCCGACAAATAGGCTCCCGCCATTTAGTTTCTCCACAAAACGGCCCCCGTCATTACGACTCCCGACAAATAGGCTCCAGACATTTTGGCTCACGAGAAATATGCTCCTTTTAATTTAGCTGCCGACAAAAGAACCACTGACAATACAGTTTCTGTAGAGATAAGTCTCCAGGTAAAATTTGAATGTTATTGAATATGACACCTGCCAGTGAGCCCCATCATCAATATTCTTTTAAGTTAGCTTATCCAGCGCTCTAATTAAGTAATACAACGTATGCATCTCTTGTTCGGCAGGCCTTATTTTTATAATAGTTTATCTATTATAATAAATAGTATGTTTTAATTTAAGGGTCATCTATCTATGACTTCCATAAATGAGTCGATTTTGGCTGTTCCAACTCAAGTGTGTGGGGAGAGGGGTCCACGCTGTACATTCCTACCGACAGTATGCTTGTAGGTTATCAAAACAAAATGTCGTTATCCTGTAAACATCATTTTATATCATACACAGATCTTTTCTGTTGAAAATTAAACATTATCACAATTTTAGAATTCGTGAAATTTAGCTGTTAAGGGCTAGATTTGTTTGTGAATTGATGTTGGTTTATGAAAAACAATTTCATGCAGCCATTTAATAGAGGTTGTAGTGGGAATGGAGGTATGACACAATGGTTACTTTTATGCCAATAGTGGTAATTCGATTAATTTGACAGGAGCCAATATGTCGGGAGTCATTTTGTCGGAAGCCAATATGTCGTGGGTCCTTATGTCGGGTGCCAATATGTCGGGAGCCTATTTGTCGGGAGCCAATGTTTGTCGGGAGTCTATTTGTGGCGAGTCATTGTGACTGGAGCTCATTTGACGGGAGCCAATAAGTCGGGGCCCTTTTGACGGAGCTATTTTGATGGGGTCGTTTTGTCGGGGTTCGTTTTGACGGGGTCATATTAACGGGGTCGTTTTGACGGGGCCGATTTGTCCCGGGCCGTTTTGTCCCGGGCCGTTTTGGAGGTGCACCGAATAGGCGTAACCATCTCATTTCCTCGGTCCGTCTCAGGAGGGTCCATACTTCGTATCCGTACAGGAAGACGGACATTACAAATGACCGCATGAGCTTAACTTTTGCGCCAGTCAGATCAAGCACTTCTTAACATTCCTAAGTGCTGTTTTTTGATGGGGTACTTCTTATAAAATTAAAATTTCGTTCCCCCATGTATCATGTAGCCATGGTGCTTTAAGGAGTAAACCTCCACAATTTGGCAATTTGCCTGTATGTCTAATACTATTTTACTATAGGGGTTGTTGGCCATAAACTCTTTCTTCCCGGCATAATCACATAAATCAAATTCCATGAGAATTATTGTCAGTTTTAAAACAATATTTTAAATACAATTTTAGTTTTTAAAAGTATAACTTGTAGTTTATCCTACAGAAATTACGTAGTTGTATCATCATCTACGCGATAATCAGAATATGTTTTACGTTTATTAAAAAAAATTCACAAGTCTATTTTACTGAGTAAAGTGTAAAAAAATAAAGTTTTAGTTTTAAAATTTGCACATTTTATTTCTATATTTTGTTAGTACTCTTTAACAAAACAAGTTTAAATCTAAAAGACAGCTTACCTAACCACCTAAATGATTGTAGATTTCGACTGTTAGGGGCTGTGTTTTCTTGACTTGGGCTCTTGAGATAATGAATAAAAAAATAAAACTAGTTCGTGGCCCCAAACTGTAAATGAAGATTAACTGGATGCAAGAAATTGGCATTAAGTTAAGCTGTGTTTAAGCTGTGTTTAGCTGGCGTTAAGCCATGTTTATTTGACGTGAATCTCTTTATTGTCTGATGAAATCTGTCAAGTAATGATTACACTAATCTACAGCGAAATAAACTTGTTGAATGAAATTTAACTTAAACATGGTGAGTTCACTAGGTCTGTGTTAAGACATGGACCTCAATCCCACTAGGTTTGTTTTAACAAAGTCTAGGCCACATCTCTAAACAAGAAGTCATTTTTGAAGCTCTTATTCATTGTAATTTTAAACTCCAGTTGTTCGCTGTGGTCCTCTAGTTATGCTAATCAGTTCGACCTTTTGCTAAATTTTCGCAATCTACTTTACAATACTCTACTAGGTAACACGCAGACCTTCTTTACATTCCGTATATGTTAAATCAATTGCCTACTTTACATTCCCCACATGGTGACACACTGATCTATTTTACATTCCCCACATGGTGACACACTGATCTATTTTACATTCCCTACGTGGTAACACACTGACCTATTTTACATTCAATAAGTTGTAACCTACAAATCAACTTTACATTCCTTACGCGGTAACTCATTAACCTACTCTTAATTTCCTACATGGTAACACGCTAACCCATGTAAATAATGTACACTACACGGTAACCCGGTACACCTACTTAGTTTATTTTTCTTGTTCAATTAAAAGTTTTATCAGTTCTAAATAAATAAAAATAAAACATCATCACAGCAAATAAAAAAAAAAAGAATGACTTCATTCTGAATGTGACGTTTGGACGACAGCTCGGTCGGCTTTCCACTGAAATGACGTTTGTGTCAGCAAAATGTCACATTTGATAGGCGATTGTTAAACTCGAAATCACTGCGTTTTCCTTGGACAACTACAACGTTTGTTTATATATATATATATATATATATATATATATATATATATATATATATATATATATATATATATATATATGTATATGTTACGGTCAAAGCCCGAAGTGCGGCCAAAGCGCGGATTGGCCAGCCAATCCGCGCATTGGCCGGCTCTCTTGGCCAAAGCCCGAAAAACTTAGCACTAAGATCGTATTTCGTACATTGGCCTGCCAATGCGCGCACTGGCCGGGATGTCCTGGCCAATGTTCTATCTAGACTAAGTTTTGATTGCATTTTCATTATTCTGGGTGCGTTTTCATTGAGAGTAATGTATTGTTTAGCTCTTGTTTGTATAGCATTCTATTTGCAAGGCGACATGGATCAAAAGGGCCGTCAGACCATGAGACAGACATAGCAGATGACTGTCAAAAGAAAAAAAATGTAAATCCATGTTAGTTTCCATATATGGGCTCTCGATAAAATAGTAACTGAGGAAGATGTTGAGAACATTGAACAAGAAATGGAGGTTGCCATAAATGTAACGACATCCTCAGCTAACACATCTACTGCCGTGGCGGAACGCCCAGACCAGTTGCGTGACAATAATGTGGCCAACAGATTCTGTATAGTTTGTGAAAAACATTGTAGTGCAGCTCATTCTTTTGGATCCTGTGGCAACGATGTCCATGCTATTTGTGGAATACCCAAATGAAGCACACGAAGGGTACGGAGGGAACATTACCTGCAGATTGTGTCACAACAAACAAGATATCATAGAACACAGATCAGCAGCTCATACTGGCTTGCAAACTCAAGGTGCTAAGATGCTTAAAACATCAAATACAAAATTTAAAGATGGTGAAGTGGGTGACAATGTACGCATCCGTTTTCCAAATGTTGACAGAGGTCACGGTGATCCCCGGAGCGTGATTGCAGTTATCATGAGCGTCGAGGGCGGTTTCTACAAATTAGGAACGGAACATGGTGTTCTAAAACAACTGTATGCTAGAAGTGAGTTTTCAATTCTTCATGAAAAACTGCTCTTATTGTCGTCAGTTGACACTGAGGAAAATTCACTACGAACCATCGCATCTTCACACTCATTGACTGGGGACCAAGGCTACACTCGCTGCAATTGCACAACTAAGTGCACAACAAATCGCTGCAAGTGTAAAAATAACAAGCTGCTATATAATTCTAAATGCCATAAAAGTTCAACTTGTTGTAACAAATGATGATATTGATAGATTGAGACTATAGTACAATAAAAAATTTGAATGTTTCTGTCATTTACTTTAATTAATAATCAATAAAGACTTAATTTCATGATCCTTACGGCATAAAAAAAAAGCAAAATCTGCTCATGATCTTCTAATTCGGACTTTGGCCGGTCGTCCCTAACCAGATGATCTTCTAATTAAGACTTTGGCCGGTCCACCATGGCCAGTCTGCGGATTGGCCGGCCAAAGGCCGAAATCAAGCAAAGCTTCGGACTTTGACCGACCTATGGGAGGCGATATTGGCCAATGCGCGGATTGGCCGGCCAATCCTAGCATTGGCCGACTTCGGGCTTTGACCGTAACATATATATATATATATATATATATATATATATATATATATATATATATATATATATATATATATATATATATATATATATATATATATATATTCAGGGGTGGACTGACCTGCCGGTCTATCGAGAAAAATCACGGTGTGGCCCCAGTTTTAAAAAAACCTGCTTAGTGATGATATTTACATACTTTCCTATAGTGATAATTAATTAAGACAGAATTAATTGATATTTTACAATAAAAAGTACTATTAGGCGCACTATTATACTCACTGTTTATTTTCTCGCATACAGAGTATAGAGAAAGTATAGTAATCATGCACAAAAAATCACCTGAAATTTGACAGTTTTCACAGTTTTACACCTCAGTACTTCATCTCATACGGAGTATATGGTCTTATTGTAATTGGGCAAATTATAAATCCGGCCAACGGAAATTACTTAAAATTTAAAGGAGGCAGAGAATCAGATATTTTATTTATTTGTCAAATTTCGTTTATCTATCTATCTATCGTTAATCAGTACTTAAGTTACAGACTTTTGAAAAACTAAAAGTAGAATAAGTTCCACTTCAATTTATCGGAAATCGCTGAAAAGTTGACACAGAACTACAAATTTGAATATAATACTTATATATGAAATTTTATCAACCTAGCTGTAAAGGTACTCAAGTTATCATGTTGACAGACAGACAGAAACACACACACACACACACACAAACATACGGACAGAGTTTCTTAGTTTTTTAACCGACTCGATTACGCATAAAACGCCAAAATTTTGATAAATCTGCATTTATAATTTTTGGTTGATTAAAATAAGTCCCCTATACTCTGTTTATGATTGGTTGATATGATGAAGAACTGAGGTGTAAAACGATAAAACTGTCAAAATTTCATGTGATTTTTGTGCACGATTACAATACTTCCTCTATACTATGTATATAAGAAAGTGAAAATGGATAAAATACGTTTTAATAACAAGCTTTTATATAATAGTGTACTACAAAGGAGACGAAGAAAAAAGATTTTCTGTAAATATATATGTAAGGGGCTGGGGAGTTATTTAATTATTTTATTACAAAAAGGTGAATGTCTTTTTGTGTTCCTCTGAGGATTGTTGTGGTTTCTAGTTAAGTAGTCCGCTATTCTGGCGCTGATATGATTAGGATTTAAAATGGTTTATAATTGCTTTGTCTTGTTTATATTTTGATGTTATTTATGCAAACATTGTTTAAGGAGTGTGACTCCACTTTGCTTTAAGTCCTGAATGTTACTTATTATTGTATTAGGGACTATTTTCTTGTGCGTAATATGGTTTTTTTTGTTCGTGAATGTGGTGTGTGGACAGGGAGGGACATTCTGCTGGAATGTCGAGGCCTGTGTGTTGAAGAGTTTCTGTGTCACATTTATGTGGTGTATGGAGGGGGGGGGGGTCCGAAATTGGGTGTTTTGTCTCTTTGAATTCTGTTTGTTTTGTATGTCTTGAGTGTTTTGTTTTGTCTAGATTCTAGTTTTTTTATGTAAATTTTGGTTCCATATTTTTGTTAAATAAATTTTATTATATTGTTAAAGTTTTTGTTTTATTTTTAGTAGTTTTTTTATTTAGACTAAGGTTAAGGTTAGGGTTTAACAACTGTGGGTTCTACCACGGTTGCACTGACCGGACAGATTAGTTAGTTAAGCCTAGGGAAGGGTAGATAGATTTTAGGCTAAGGTATCCCACCCCCCCCCCCTTAGCAGAGCTTACAAATAATAACTAGATACATGGTCCGTTGATGGAGAAATACATCAGGGGCTAGTTTGATAGTGTTGTCTTTTCTCTAAACTGAAACCAAAACCAAAGTCACCAATCCAACTTCAAATTTTATCGGACACGAAACATGTCGTTGAATCGGCATTTAAGCGAGATTTCACCCTAATCTACATGTAGTTACTGCACATTCATACTAAATTTAGTTATAATCAAACCCCTAAAACTTGCACTTAAGCTCGCATTTAGGACGTCTATAGCCTACTATAACGAAATAGAATTTATATAGAATATATACTTTTACCGTAAAATTTAGTCCGCCTCCACCTCCCTCCCCCAAAAATATATTTTCATGTGCCCTCCTACGCCCGGGTAAAAAAAAAGTCTGAAAGAAACACCGGTGGCATTTGTAGATCATACAGATGAAAGGTAGACCTACTCAATCATTCAAAAAATATTTCAGGGGTAGGGGGGGGGGGGCACTTGAGGTTTTTTTTTTGGGGAAGGGGACGGATTAAATTATCTGGGTAAGGGTGCCGTCATTATATAAATTGTGACTACATGTCCATTGTAGCATAATAAATCCCATTTCCACAAAATGGGACAAATATAAAGTGTGTTGGCATAAATAATTTGTATTTGCGTTATTTTTTCTGTTAGCACAGTTTTCCTGTTGCGCATTTTTTTGGATGGGGGGGGGGGGGGAAGAGGGGGTTTCAGATAAAAACATACTTGATTGACAAATGGCAACACATAAAAAATATTTGAAAAAAAAAAACAACAATAAAAACCAATTAATTTGCTAATTTTATTTATAAATCACTAAGTTTAATAGTATGTCATTCTTGCAATAAATTCAAAACAAATGAAAATTTAGTTAAAAGTTACAAAAGTTTTGAGGGTGAAATTAAAAACTGTTTTCAAGGATTACATATTTTAAAACTAAATTGCTTATTTTTAGAAGTGGATTTAAAAGGCACTTATCGTAATTATTATCAGAGCAACTACTAAATCAATAACCTCTTTGGTAAATGACTTCCTGATGTCTATGTGGTAAGTATATCGCTGACATGAACATTTCCACCATAACCAAAGTAATTGATCTGCTCGATTTTGTGCTTGTAAGTGTACTTGTGTACACCTTTGTGGTCGATCTGAATATAAGAAATTGCATAAACTGAGACAAAAATATCAGTGTGTGCGGCTTAATTCCGTTTAAATAATAAAAACGAAATCACATTAATACTTGCCATCGGTACCAGTTACAAGTGAATTATAGGCCTATATTTTTAAAATGTTATACTTCTTTGAGAAATATTTTGCAAACAAGTTATTGCTCAAAACGCAAGGGGCTTTTCTGCATGTTAAACGACATTAGAGTAGTATATTAGGTCCCTTTTGGAGCGAATGGGTGAGCAGGATGCGGATGCGGATGCGGATGCGGAACAAAGGCTATATAGGAAAATACTCCCCCAGCCTGGTACAATGACATATAGCAAAATACTCACCCACCTGGGTAAGTGGGTGAGCAGCCTGGTACAACGAGATATAGTAAAATACTCCCTGGGGGAGGTGGAGGTACATCCTCATATAGTAAAATACTCACCCAACTGGGTGAGGGTGGGTGAGGGTGGGTGAGCAGCCTGGTACAATGAGATATAGTAAAATACTCACCCACCTGGGTGAGGGTGGGTGAGGGTGGGTGAACAGCCTGGTACAACGAGATATAGTAAAATACTCACCCACCCTAGGGTGGGGGATGCGGATGCGGAGTAGGTCAGTAGGTCACCACCGGTGACCTTGTGACGTAATCAGTGACCTAGTTACGTAATTTTAATGAGTTTTTTAATTAGTTTTAATGAGTTTTTTAAATTTTAATTAATTTTTGACCTAGTTACGTAATTTTAATGTGTTTTTTAATTAATTTGATTTTAATTACTTTGTTTATATTGTGTAATTTTAAAATGTTTATTGAGTAGTTACGTGATTGGATTTTAATTTTTTTAAATTTTTAAATTTTTTTAAATTTTTAAATTTTGTAATTTTAATTATTTTAATTAGTTTAATTATTATTAACTTATTTTAATTAGTTTAATTATTATTAACGAGTTACGTAATTGGAGTTTAATTTTTTTTTTTTTAAATTTTTAAATTTTTTAAATTATTATTTTTTAATTTTAAATTTTATATTTGTTTATTTGTTTACTTGTTGTTTAATTTAATTACTTTGTTTATTTTGTTTTGTAATTTTTATTGACGAGTTACGTAATTGGATTATTTGTTTGATTTTTAATTAATTTGATTTTAATTACTTTGTTTGTGTTTTGTCTGTTTATTTTTAATAAGTTTAATTAATTTGATTTTTATTTAAATTTTTAATTTTTTAAAATTTTATTTTATAATTAGTAATTATTTTAATTTGATTATTAGTTTGAAATTCATTTTATTTCTTTGATTTCAATTACTTTGTTTAATTTATTTATTTGATATATTTCTTTTCTTTGTTGTTTAATTTGTTGGTTTGTTTATTTTGTTGTATGTATGTTTTAAATTCTCCCCTACAACGACCGTGTACAAAAAACAGGTTAAATTCTCCACCACAACGAACGTTACAAACATAGAACATTCATTAAAGATAACGATTAACAACACCTGTTACTCGCTAATGGCACCCGGCACGTATCGATTCACCAGCGATCCTTTGTTCTTATCAAACACCGTACAAGGGTCAAGTTCATATCGATCGCACCCACTGACCATCAGTATGATGGTCCACCTATGTGTAATTTTTATTAACGAGTTACGTAATTTGATTTTAATTTTTTAAATTTTTAAATTTTTAATTTAATTTTATAATTAGTTTAATTATTATTAACGAGTTACGTAATTTGATTTTAATTTTTTTAAATTTTTAAAAATTTTTTAAATTATTATTTTTAAATTTTATTTTTAATTGTTGTTTACTTGTTGTTTAATTTAATTACTTTGTATAATTTATTTGTTTGAAATTCATTTTAATTAGTTTGCTTTTAATTTCTTTGTTGTACGCCGTTTGAAATAAAAGACTAACACTAGCGTGTACTAGAAAGTGTCATTGTGTATAACATCCATTTAACCACAGCTGTTACTTATTAGCGACAGCTTGTACTTATCGATCCGCCCGTGAGCCTCCCCGGCGCTCCCCGTGGTTGCTTAATAGCGGACTCACTGAAGCGATCACAACAGGTAATTAATCGAAACCATTAAGTCCCTCTCCGCGTTAAGTGTGGCGACAGCTGGTGCTGTAATTAGTCACGGCTCTCGGCTTTTTTCATTAGACTTCAGCTGTACATGAACTATGTTCACATATCGTACCCCCGGTCATTCTTTGATCAAATTAAAAAAATTTTGTTTCCACATGTCCTGCGAACCGTCCCTTGCTATGTATGAAAGATTAATGGTTGTAACTATTCGCTTATAGCGAGGGTCAGCGAAAACAAAAATATATTTAAGGGTCGGAATTTTCTTTCAACCACCGTTAAGTCAGGTTTTGAGACGAAACGAAGTCTCGGTAGGTTCGTGTTTTTTAATGGGCGACAGGGCGACTTGATGCGTTGGTACGTAGGTATGCGGGGTTAAGGTTCTATAACTCTATATATTTAAATACGTTTTTTTTATTCAAATGAGTTTACTCCCCCTAACGTAAGTACATGTAAAGAGGGATTTCCTATAGATCTGTAATGAATTAGGCCTTTTTGACTATGACTTGTTGCCCAGGTGTTGACATGATACGCTTTTTTGAGATATACATACACACACACACACACACAAACACACACACACACACACACATGCGCGCGCGCGCGAAATTCATACTAGGTCGGTAATGGCGGAGAGAACTTATAGGTATACATTATCATGGCGACAACAAAAGCGACTCTTATTTTATTTACATGAAAGCGTGTTTTCCAAAAAGTGTCACCATGCCATTGTCATTTTCGCAGCGGGGTTTATTTTAAGTGTACCCCGTGCACGGTTGTTTACATTTTAAAAGACGTGTCGCGTGTCTTCCCCTTACGGCTTCCCTAATAGAGAAACGAGAGGAAAGACAACTGTTCTAAAATTAGAACAGACTTGTCTACACACACGAGTATCGTCCCTTGTGAAAAAAAAAATTCGCGTCAGATTCCTTAACTAAACAGTCAATTTCTTTAACAAGTTAAAAAATAATTTAGGAAGACAAGGGTTAACAACATTAGACGCTACCGTTTTTGTTTCCTGTGACGACAAGGCACAATACACTTTTGTATTTTATGTCTCAAGTAGAGGGTGGGATATTTTTTCTTTGTAAGCGTGTTGTAAACAATGGGTAGAGGAAGCGATTACTAGGTAAGAGGGGAGAGAACGTGACGTACATCGCGATATTTGAAAACATGGCGATGTTTAACCTCAACCAAAAAAGGCAATGAACCTAGAAGGAAGACGAATATATATCTTAGTCTTGCAGCAGATTACCTCCCCATGTTCGCTTTAGTATTACAGTTTTCATCAAACTTCTTTTTGACTTGAACTTCGTTAATTTTTAAGCAAGTTTACTTATACATAATACACTACGTCTAATGACAAGTTTTTATTTTTACCACTCAATGTATTTTCTTTTTCTATACCTTACATTGTCATCTTAATTTTTGATCACCTTAGTAAAAATTTGCTTAAGATTATAAACTTCAAGTTTTAAAAAACAACAACGTCGTGTCAAATGACACACCGTTTAAAATGTCTACATTTAAAGTTCACCAAAATAATGACGTAAAAACTAAATATCATATGACATTAGCATACATATCATTCAATCTAATCACTCTAAAGTACAAATCAATAATTTTTATTGATTAAGGGGCTGGGTGAGTTAGTTTTTATTCGGGTGCCCAGGGAAGGTTTGGAGTTGGCTAGGGGCACCGTTCATACTAGAGTCGGTGACACAGAGGGATGTTTCGAAGTTGATACATCCATGTTTTAGAATTGATAGGTAGAGAGTCCATACTAGGGTCGGTGAAGTTTTCACCGAGGCAGGTTACAAAGTTGGGACATGCATGTTTAGGAATTGTTGGCAGTCGCGTTCATACTAGGGTCGGGGAGTTTTGCTAACACTGAGGCAGGTTGTAAAGTTGGTACAGGCATCCTTGGAATTGTTAGGGGCCGTGTTCATACTAGGGTCGGTGAAGGTTGGTTTTGAACTCGGAACATGTATGTTTTGGAATCGGTAGGGCTAGAGTTCATACTAGTGTCGGTGAAGGTTGGTTTTGAACTCGGAACATGCATGTTTTGGAATCGGTAGGTGTAGAGTCCATACTAGGGTCAGGGGAGTTTTTGTTAACACCGAGGTAGGTTGCAAAGTTGGTACATGCATGTTTAGGAATTGTTGGTAGCCGAGTTCATTCTAGTGTCGGTGAAGGTTGGTTTTGAACTCGGAACATGCATGTTTTGAAATCGGTAGGTGTAGAGTCCATACTAGGGTCAGGGGAGTTTTTGTTAACACCGAGGTAGGTTGCAAAGTTGGTACATGCATGTTAAGAATTGTTGGTAGCCGAGTTCATACTAGTGTCGGTGAAGGTTGGTTTTGAACTCGGAACATGCATGTTTAGAAATTGTTGGTAACCGAGTTCATACTAGGGACGGGGGTGTTTTAACCGAGGCAGGTTACAAAGTTCGTACATGCATCATTGGAATTGTTAGGGAGAGTTAAACTAAGGTCGGTGAAGTTTTCACCGAGGCAGGTTACAAAGTTGGTACATGGATGTTTAGGAATTGTTGGCAGTCGAGTTCATACTCGGGTCGGGGAATTTTGTTAGCACTGAGGCAGGTTGGAAAGTTGGTACATGCATGATTGGGAATCGTTGGTAGCCGAGTTCATACTAGTGTCGGTGAAGGTTGGTTTTGAACTCGGAACATGCATGTTTTGGAATTGTTGGTAGCCGAGTTCATACTAGTGTCGGTGAAGGTTGGTTTTGAACTCGGAACATGCATGTTTTGGACTCGGTAGGTATAGAGTCCATACTAGGGTCGGTGAAGTTTTCACCGAGGGTGATTTCAAAGTTAGTACATGCATGTTTTGGAAGTGTTAGGGGCCGAGTCTATACTACGGTGGGATGGTTTTTGTTTTCATCGAGGCCGG